TGGTGAAAGATGGTTTGGAAGAATGAGCAAAATATCTTGGCCGACCAGATCCCCAAACCATATATTTTGACGTTTGAGTTTTTTTAATATTTCCAAGGCACACTTGATTTTTCAAAATTGAAATTATTTTGAAAATTAATCTTTTATTAAGCAGGGCTAAACCCCAGAAAATAAAAATTGAATTCAAATTTTATTAGGATATTACATGAGTCGTTTCACCTATATATATATATATATATATATTTAAAAAATTTGAATTTTTATGCTCCCAGGGACTATATCGTTTGAAATAATTTAAAAAAAAAGTATTTTCTATCATAATATATTAACCCGGGCTTTCTTAAAATGTAGGTTTTCTATTTGAATAACGTGGGGTTTTTGGTATTGACTAATATTTTTTTAATTCCGGCCAAAGTCAATGTTGAAAAAATTTCAAACTTAGCAAAACCTTAACCTTATATAGTGGATTTTTTAAATTTTTTTACAGATTTATAGCTATTATTAGTTTTAGAGTTTCAAGTAGGCGAAAAATTTGATTTTGATTTTTTCCAAAATTTGTTTAAAAACTAAATTAGTGGCGGCTGGTGGATTTTGGGTATACCAATATTTCAGTTATTAGACATGGGACCCACACTAAATTTATAATAGTTTATAATGACATTAAATAGACAAGTTTGGCGCAAACAGAATTTAAATTGAAGTTTGCGAAAAACAGTTAGTTTTTCCTGTTGCCCCACCCGCCTCTAGGCCCCCTTAATTAAGATAATTCAAATTAAAGTGGTGCAATTTATTATCTACTATAATTTATCGACAAATTTAAAAAATCCAAATATTACAGGTTTTATACCATTTTAAATATTTTTTTATTTTAATAAAATAAATTATAAAATTTAAAATTTAACATATTACCCACATGTTAAAAAAATTGAGGCATGAAATTAAATAAATAAATATTATTAATACTAATTGTTTATACTTCGATTTATTTAATTAATAATTTTTCTGAATACCCTCCTGTTCCAACGAGGCCCTGAACTCATACGAATTGTTTCTGCCCGCACCTTTCCGATATGCGTTGTTTGCGGCGCATATTGTTATGTGCTCTGCGCCGCATACTGAGTCTGCTTTGCGTGTTATTATCATAGGTTATATTAATAGCAAACTAGAAATAATTATTAGCGTTACAATTATTCCAAATGACTTGCCTTTATTTTTAAAATAGAAACCTTTTAAAAGATTTTGAAGAACGGTCAATTTCTAAAACCAGACCAAATTTTAAAATTTGCCTGTACATAAAAAGCTATGTATACATATAGTATTTATTAAAATATAAAAATTATGTAAAAAAAAAATTTAGTTTGTCCAAAATAGAGCCAACATCCAGAAATTTTTTTGTCAGCAGCTTTTCCAGTATAAGGGCCAGATTTTTGATACGTCACTGAAAGGCAATTATAATCATATATATCGTCACCTAAATGTGTAAAACTGCTATTTTTACAGTTCTTGTACCGAATGACAATAAAATGCTTAAAACTGAAAAAAATGGACCTAGCAGTTTTACACATTTTTTTTGATCTTTTAGTTCCACCCTTACTTCCTAAGAAGTCCCAGAAGCCAACTTAATGGCTTGTGCGGGTTAGGGGTAAGAACGGACCGCGGTCTTAAAGTCCCCTCCGAATGACTAATACACAATAGGACAAACACAAATAAACAACCATACCAATGTGGGACTCGAACCCACGACCTCTCGGTTTGTAGTCAGCAGCAAATCAAATCAAAAATATTTTTTAATATTAAGTGGTGGATTTCCATTAAATGTAGGTGTAAAACAAGTGTATATATAAAAAAAGTAAATAAGTGTATATTTAAAAACAAACAATACAAATGTGCCTGGCACGTATCGCTTGTGATCCCCTTGGCCGATGTTTGGCTTGTTTAAACCCACATTATAATTTATAAATTTTCTCGCAATTCGCCATTTCCTTCGATCATCGCGATACGTATGAATTAAATGTTTTGTGTGTAAATGTTAAGGGTAGTCGGCAGCACTGACCATTAGTCCTGGACTAGTAGTCCACCGCGGTGGACGGTGCACCGTCGCGTCAGCGGTTAGGTGACGATATTATATATTAAAATGTCTGTTACACATTGAACGCGTATGTACCTATATAGGTATATTTAAATATAAATAATCAATAAATATTTAACAATAATTGTTCCATATTTGACCCTGACTCAACTGATATCGTAATATTGGTTCATACAACGTTTCTATATGGTTTAGTGGCTTATCTGCCATTTCATGCGTAAACAATGTTTGCATTTTAAAACCCAGTAAAATTAATATTACCTAGTTGCCTAAAAGGAATAAAAGATATACATATATATATATATACTTACCCTTATGTATATATTGTGAATTTTGGATTTTAATTTAAATAAAGTACCTAAATCCAGATTATTAATTGCGTAATAATTATAATAATAATTATTGTTAATTTTAATTTAAGAGAAATCACATTTAAAATAAAATTATATATACAAGTCTTTATTAAATTGCAACCGTCTTCTTCGTCCTGGTTTGGTTCAGTTACCTGTAAATTTTTATTTAAACAATATATTCATCATTTTTGAAAACAAAACCTGCTAAAATTGACATTAGTAAGACGTCTAATCCTTCGACAAAGTTGATATTTTAATTTAATTTTTTTAAAGGATCCCTAATAATTTGACTGCCACCAGGGTAAGTCTTTGATGCAGTGGGCGGTATTCCCTGGAAGGAGAAAGAAGTAAATCTTTATTCGCATTAAAAATTACGTTATCTATTTTATATTTTTGAATTGCCGAAAACCACAGTTGATTTGGCCAACATGGTATCACCATGATGCCCTCTGCTTTGTCTTTAATGATTTTTCGCAGGGTTACAGTAATGAAGCAAAAAGGGGGAAATGCATAGAAATATATAAGAAATTGTAAATTATTATATCGTTAAACATTCTGGGTCTGAAATGTATCACATTTCTTGTTTTAATAACATTCAAACAATACGTTTAAAAGCTGAATTTGCTAGTTGTACTCTGTTTCTGAGGAGGCGATTACATTAGGTTTTGGTTTTAAATAACAGGCAAATATATGTATTTTACTTTCTTCCCTCCATATTTCTCTACTAATGTTATTAAGAGTTCTCCATGCGATTAATACAGGCTATTGCTTTCAAATTGTCTATTTGTATGGTTAATAACCATACGTTATGTTGCCATTTGAGTGATATTTCTTTAATATGCTGCTTTTAATTCCAAAATATTAATATGCCATTTCTTCTCTTCATGATTCTAGAAACTTCTAGCAGATTCATGTTAACAGTATGTACCCAAACCTGTTGTCAAAGCGTCTAAAATATTTCTTATGTGTATTCTAAGGGGGGCTTAAATTAAATGTTTAAACCACCATTCAAAACCAGTGTTTAGGTAGGCGGGACAAATAAGCAATAAGCCTTCCAATGTAGACATGTCTGCTGCAGCAAACTTATTGAGCACACTTTTATTTTTCATGGTTTTTGTGTGTGAACTTATGATTTTAATTTTAGCTTGTGGTAGGCTTATCGTTTGGTTAATTAAATTAAACTAAAACCATCAAAATTCTATGGTGTTTGTTGTATTTGAGACGCATTTTTTCCTATTAAACTAAACCCAAGCGAGTCAATCAAATTCATTGTGTAAAATATGCTTGATTCTATTTCCCTAGTATATGACCCAAAAACAGTACATCGTCCAAGTAAATAAGCGACATATGTCTTTGAGATTTAAGCTTTTGTGAGAAAGGCCTCATTATTTTGGTGAAAGTGTAGAGAGCAATATTTAGACCAAACGGGAGAACATTAAATTCGTACAATGTATTGTTAAAAACAAATCTAAGGTATTTTTATAAGATTTATGGATAGGAATTGCAATATCTATGCTTTAAGTCTATTTTTGCAAAAAAAAACACTTTTTTGTTATTAGTTTTGTGGCGAATCTGTAGTCCTCTAGCTCTAGTGCAGTACCGAAATTAGTTAGTCAGATTTTTTAAATTTAAAATGAATCTCTCTTTTCCATTGGGGTTTTTCGTAAAGAAGTATGGGAATATGAATTCACCATTTTTATGCGAAGTTTTTGAAATAGCTCCTAATTTTACTAGGTCTTAAATGGGAGTTAAACATTTTGGGTCGTTACTTGACCGATAACTTACTTCTGAATTAGGAGGTATTTCCATGAAAGGGATTTTTACGCCTTTATATTATGATTCCTTATTTGTCTAAAAAAAATGTTTCATTTTGTAGTACATTTGAAGTTTAATATTAATTTAAGTATTTTTTAATTTGCTAGCTTAAGATCAGCTCTTTGCTTATTAGTAGAGTACCATCACTATCCACCCAACCATATGAGCAGCATGTTTTAATTTTTTTTATTTTCTACTTTTAATTACATTTTGTAACTTATATTTGCACGTATCCAAACATCTCTGCTACTGAAACCATATACTGCCAAAGACGATTCACTAATTTGACACCTCTTTCACAGCCTGTGTGGGGCAAGGTAACTTGAATAATTTCCTTCTGAAAAATTACCTGTTATAATTAATTGTTGAATTTCAGTTAGTTGGTGGAGCCTCCGTAATTATGTACTTTTGCTTATTATTAAATCAAGATATGATTTAGCTCCAAAATTAAATTTGGGAATTTAGAATTTTCTAGAGGTGTTCTTAGAATTATTATTATGCTTCTTTTTCGACCTGCAGCTTAATATATTTCTAAATCCTAAATGTCTTTTAAGGCCGACGTAAGTTAAAGATCATAATTAATATTATATTTTCAGGGTGGCCATAAAAGCCATTTCCTTAAACTACATGATCAACTGCGGCTTTTAGTTCGTCACCGAAATACGTTGAATAAAAATAAATTATTTTTTGACTTACATTTATATCCATTTAATTAATTAATTAATATTAATTCTTTGTTATAGATAACTAGTGGTACCCCAGCTGAAAGAGCAGGTCTCATTCCTGGAGACTCTGTAATCAAAATCAACAACGTTGATGTATTCAACCTCAGACACAAGGACGCACAAGATGTGGTTGTTCGGGCCGGAAATAACTTTGACATGACCATACAAAGGTAACTTTTTTGCAGTCATAAGTTACATTTCACCTATTTACCCTTTGAATTTCAAAATTGGCCAATTATTGCCAATTTTGACAATTAAAAAATATATTAATAAGGGTACTGTTTACGCACCGACACATTTTGCTCTAATACTAAATGTCTAAATGTTTTATACATTATTTTGTAACTTAAAACATAAAAATTACTATATCATACTATACTATTATGCCAAATATTTGGCAACTGTGTTTTATCAAATAGTACTTATAAATGCATCTCTATTAATTAAAAAAAAACCTTTAAAATCCGTTTTTAAAATTAGGTCTCAATATTTGAATATTTTATGAAAAAAATGTACTTGCGCAAAATTATATTATTCTGCCAATAAACAAATTGAACAGTTTAAAATGTACACAAATCAAAGTACCTAAAACCCTTAAGGCCTTAGTATTGTTGATATTTTGTATCTAAAATAATAATGTAGGTTATATTTATCATGCCATATATTGGCAATGTTTGTAATGTCTGTTTTTATCAACAACTTGTTAATAAACAAGTTAGTCAGTTTTTCCTGACGATGCTAAACCAAACCGTACGAGTTTTATTTCGTTCGCCTTATTAACAGTGTTTACACCCTAACTCAGCAGGTTATGGGCCCAGGGCGATATAATAAGGTAAATCTAAAGCCAGTACGCAAGTTTATTTGGTTTTTCTAATAAAACGACTCTGTTAGTTGTTTGTTGTTAGTTCTCGAGTTCGAAAATGGAAGCTAATTATTTGTCTACAATTTCAAAGCTACAAGGCCGTGAAAATATGAGGAATGGTGTTTTGCCAGGGAAAATTTCCTCATATTAGAAGCCTTAGTAAGTGCATAGTTGGTACAGAAACTGATGCTGTGCAAATCGGAAAATGCAAAGCGAGAACGGCTAAAGAAGTTTGGGAAAAATTGAAAGATCTCTATGAAAACAAGGATTTTACGGGAAAAATTGGACTTTTCCTTAAGGCTAGAAAAATACAACCAAATAATCGAAACTACCCAAAAACTTGGTCGGACAGGGCTCAAATTAGATACAAAGCTGCAAATTCGACAGCGGGCGCTTTTATGGGCAACTTTTAGAAATGTCAACGTCAATTACATAAAAATATAAATAAACATGGAAGTCGATATCAAGAAAGTAGAAATGCATTTAAAAGGAAGGACCCTAAGTGTATTTACTACAAATGCAAGCAAGCTGGCAATTATATACTAAGTGTTGATTTTCAACAGGATTGTTGTAAACAATAAAAGTGGCAAAAGCATTTTTGAGAAATGAAGTGTATAAGATTGACACTAAAAAAAATGTTTGTTGAACAAGCAATAGCAGTTGAAGTTTGGCACAAGAGACTGGGGCACATTAATTCAACATATCTAAATAAAATGAGGAATGGCCTAGTTGATAGTACTAACTATTCTGGTCAAGTGAAAATTAGAAAGCAAAATTCGACAACATTTCGATCATCATGGCACTAAAGCTAATGGACTTTTAGATGTTATCCATAGTGATCTGGCGGGACACCTATAGGTGGATCAAAATATTTTTTGACAATGCAGGATTATTTCAATCCTATGTCCTTTCTGTATTTTATGAAAACAAAGGATGAAACATTTGATTTGAAGTTTAAGAAGTTTCAATGTTTAGTTGAGAAGCAGCTGGGTGAAAGTGTTGCGCACAGACAATGGTGAAGAATACATTGGTGCATTCAGCATTATCTGAAAATATAGGGTATAGTTCACAGTGGCGGCTCGTCGGGGTAGGCAAGGTAGGCGCCGCCTACCCTGGAAATATGGATGAAAAATAATAAATATAAGTAATTATAAAATTACCAAATTTAATTAAATTCTTTTTTTTTGCATTCATAAATCTTATTTATCGCAAATAAAACCTTTTATTGAATTGTTACGTGATGCGTCATGACGAAAGTAGCTAGTTCGCACCTTTTTCTATGCTCTAAATCAGCATCTAAAGCAAGCAAAGGCAACTATCCCAATCGCCTGTTTATTTGATTCTTGCACGTCAACCAAGTGAAGAACGCTATACCGCTGACCAATAGAAACGCCGTTGACGTATGGTAAAATTGCGATGAGTAGGCGACACGATTGTTCGCCTTCGGCTAATCCGAAAGCCGATTCGGCTTCCGACTTGTTCTTGTCAGTAAGTTATTTTTTTAAGCCGGTAATCGATAAAATGATCAATCTCAATGCAAGAGGTTCAGAATATAATATGAATTTAATATTAAAAGTCCTGTAAATAACATCATTTGCAAGAATATATTAATATAATAAATAATTAATTTAAAATAGTGACATCTGTTGAGATAAATTCGAACGATAAAGGGCTTTTAAGCAGATTTCTTTTACATTTCAGTTTTGTTAATTAGATGTTTTTGAGTTAAACAATAATAATTATTGTTTTAAACCAAATTCACTTTATTTTTGTGACTGTGTCAGGAAATTAATTACCCGCTAAGTATTACTGTATCATTATTTATTATTATTTGTTAGTATTAGAATTAGGTAGTATTAGTTTGTATTAGAATTAGGTACTACCTAATAGGTAGGTAGTATTAGCCTTGTTTAATTAACAAGGGTATTATTTTGCAATAATGGTCGCCTACCCCAGCGCGGAAGGCACGAGCCGCCACTGATAGTTCATCAGACTACAAATCCATATACACCACAGCAGAATGGACTCTCTGAAAGACTAAATCGGACATTAGTTGAAAAGGCAAGGTGTCTATTGTATGAAGCGGATTTGAAAAACCACTTTTAGGCAGAGGCGATCAACACAGCTTGCTTTCTCCGAAATAGATCAGTAGTAAGTAACTTACCAAAAACTTGAAATGAAATGTTTTATAATAAAAAGCCAAATTGAAGTCATATTACAATTTTTGGGAGCACAGGCATGACACATGTTCCTAAAGAAAAGACAGGAAAATGGGACAAAAATAAGAAAAACTAATCCTAGTTGGGTTTTCTGAAACAACCGAGGGCTATAGACTGTATGACCCAAAAACTTCACTTTCACTAGTAGAAATTTCAATGTATTGGAAATAGGTGTAAACTACAAGATGAATCCATGTGTAGATGAAGAGGCAAATCAGAATAATTTAGACAGTCAGAAGGCTCAATGTTGGACAGTAACTCTTAATTTGACTTGATTCTGCAGCCTGAGAGGGAGAAGACAGGTGACCAGAGTGACGAAACATATACCCCAGATGACCATGAAGATATTAGTATTTTAGGGAGTATTCTAAGGTCTTAAATGGAGAGAAAGGTTAAGGTTTGGAACGACTTTGTCACATATTTCACTGTTAAGAGGTCAGAGGTGTTAGTTGTAGTGGAAGATCCAGTCTCTGTAAAGGAAGATCTTTCAAGTCCTAATCACAATCAGTGGTTAAGTGCAATGTCAAGTGAAATGAACATTTTAAATAGTGAGCATTACTTATAGGGTACTAGGGTAGTCGCTAGGTTTCGGCCAACGACAAAGTATTGACTTCGATGAAACTTTTTCCCCAGTAGTAAGACATTCAACACTAAGGTTATTATTAGCATTGTCTGTACAACTTAATTTAGAAATTGTTCATTTAGATGGTGTTACTGCTTTTTTGAATGGCAAGCTGGAGGAGGAGGTATTCATGAAAATGCCAGAGGGTTTTGGCAGAAAAATACCTAGTAATCACACAAGTATATTAAAACTAAAAAGAGCTATTTATGGTTTGAAACAGAGAGCTTAAAATTTTAAAAATGTGATTATAAGCAGTCTGTTATGTAAAGGATAACAAGTTTACTATTGAATTATGTTTAAGCTGTGTAGATTAATATTGTTTAGATAAGCGGGAGTGTTGATATTTTGTATCTAAAATATTAATGTAGGTTATATTTATCATGCTATATATTGATTGATATATTAATGCCTGTTGTTATTAACAACTTGTTAATGAACAAGTTAGTTTTTCCTGAAGATGCTAGTTTGTATGAGTCACAATTTATTAAAATTAGGTGATAATTTGCTTCCTATATTTTATAAGAAAGGTTAAAAAACACCTTGAGGGTATATAAAAAATATGATATCATACAAAAATAAATAACGTGTTTTATTAATTTTGTGTCATACATTACACTAGTTTACAAGAATTTACTCATCGAACCAAAACTACTTTTTCTAGGGTAAAATTTTGTGCTGATTCAGAAAATCATAGTGGTTTTCCTGGTTTATCTCTAAATTTCGAGATTCGCATAAAATCTCGAAAAAATGCACTGTTACAGAACATTAAATCACAAAATTGCAGCTAAAATTTTTATTTAACTTTAAATTAATTCCAAATATTTATAGCTATAAGAAAGTGTAAAAGAAATTTTAAGGTGTAAAACTTATAAATCACATCAGTAGTTTGGTCGTAATGACCAAAAACAAATAAGAAAAAATCGATTTTTTCTGAATTAAAAAAAAATCAACTTTTGTCCGATGTGAATATAAAAACACTTTGAAATATAAAAAGTTAGCCCCCCTATATTCTAGAGAATTTAAATACGAAAATGTTAAGCATAAGTGCGTCAATATACGATAAGGTTTAGATTTTATACGCTCAATTTTTTTAAATGATTTAAAGTATACGCTAAGGAAGCATTGCTCGTAACGCCACCACGAGGCCGTTATCATCGTCACCAGAATTCAGCTTTTAAACAGTAGCTGTCAAAGGCATATGTTAGAAACGAGTGTTTTTTAAGAATAAAACCCGAAAATGTTAAAAATATAAGGAAAAAAACCGAGGCACGATTGGTTGTGTTGTTGGGTGTTTTTAGAGAGGAGTTTTTACCGGTTTTTAAATAAAAAGAGGATATCCGAATGAGGAAATAAATTGCATACAGTCCCTGTAAATATAAATTGTACATATTAGATACAATAAATACAAATTTTAGTAATGATTTACGTGAAAATTGTAAACGTTTCAATTCAGTAACAATCATAAAACAAATAGTCGTCTAAATTCAAACAGCATTTAGCATTATTAAAAGCGTTGATTAAGAAAGTCTCCACTCAACAGTAAAATACCAAGAACCGGTATTATATTATGTATTATATTATGTATTATATTGTATTGTATTTACTCTTCTATTTATATTTAGTGTGATCGATAATTATATATTTATTAAATTACTATTATTAATGATAACAGAAATGTAAATTTTTAATAAATGTAGAGTATTGCCCACTGCGTACCTATTTTAGCCATTTGTCGTAGGTCAGGCGGCTCAAAATTTCTACTTTACTTATACAAATTTTAATGATTTTTTTTGTTTCAAAAAATGACACTAATGCAAAAAAACACCATATTTACATTATTTTGGTTTTGAAATAAGAAATGAAGGGAAATCTTGGAGTTTAATTTGTCTAAATTGCAATATAACGTTGAAAATCTGGATGTCTGGAAAAAAGGGTTATTTGTGTTTTGCCGGGTCAGTTTTATGGGCAGAACCAGTCGATGACTTAGATTGTTACTTTTGTGTGATAAATATTACTGGTATAAACTAAAAAAAAAGATCTCTTCAGTATCCAAATGTTACTTACCTAGTTACGAACCTAGTTTTGATACGTCTTTTTCTAAAAATGAATTCGATGCAGAAAAAACATGATGTAACACCAGCCGAATTAAATGACCTTAAGTTGTCCAAAAGGTATAGTGAAGTGCCTTAACCAATACAATTTTTTTGATAAATTGACAAAAGTTTTTTTTTTACGAAAATAGATTACTGCAATAACATTGATGGCTTGTTTGAACAACTACGAATACATCATACACCAACAGAATGGCGTCTTTTCATAGACAGTTCAAAAATAGTTTGAAGGGGGCTTTAATACACAATGTAAATAATTTACCGACAACTCCAATCACACATGCGGTAAATATAAAGAGACTTATGAACGAATTGCATATAAATTTAAATGAAAAGTTTATGCAGGCTTAAAGGTAGCAAATTTTTATAGTGTTATAACGGTTTATTGAAGCAGTTTCACAGGTGGTTGCAGTCCTTATAGGCTTACAAGGTGGTTTTTACTTAGTATTGCTGCTTTCTTTGTCTATGGAACAGTCGGGCTAAAGCACATTATTATGTTCGCAAGGAATGGCCATCCAGAGCAAATTATACCGTTGGTATTTTTGTGGGTCCACAAATAAGAAAATTGATGAATGATGAACAATTTGTAAAAAAATTGTCGACTGAGGAAGCAGCTGCATGAACCAGCTTTAATGAAGTTGTACAAGGATTTTTACAATAAATATGAAAATTATGCTGCAATTGCATTTTTTACACTCGCATTTGGGATTTTTTTTCGGAAAATTTGAGTGCACAAAATGATGAGCAGTGTAAAAGATTTCATCAGGACCTAATGAAAAAAAAGAAGCTATTAGGGTTTAGGAGATGAAGGAATGATGGGGGATTATGATTTATGGAAATAAATTTAATAAAAAAAATAAAATAAATAACAAAAAATTAAAAAAATAACGGTTTTGATATTTTTTCCCTTAATAAGTATTAAATCTAAAAATATTGTAATTAATAAAATTTTACATTGCTCCAAAAAATTTACCGTACTCTCTAAAAATGAATTAGTCAAAAATGACTAATTTAATAGTTATTAGTGGCTGCTTTTTCACTTGTACCATGGTTAAACATGAAATACCACGGTATCCAAAATTTAACAGCCAATTCTTCTGTAAAATTGTCCCCTGAATCCGAAAATACCGTCAAAAATTATGAAAGTGGAGCAGTTTTTGAGATATAGTCAATTCTATATTAAATGGAAAATTGACTATATCTCAAAAACTATTCTACTTTTTTAACTTTTGAAGACATTTTCGGATTCAGGGGACAATTTTACAAAAGAATTGGGTGTTAAATTTTGGGATACCATGGTATTTCATGGTTAACCATGGTACAAGTGAAAAAGCAGCCACTTATAACTATTAAATTAGTCATTTTTGACTAATTCACTTTTTGAGAGTGTAAAATCTAAATCTCATCCTACGTACGTATGCCCTAAATGTTCGTAATTAAATTCTTTAGAATAACTAAGTTGAAACTTAACTATTTTTGGTCATAGTGACAAAACCACTGATGTGATTTATGAGTTCTTCATCTTAAAAGTTTTATTAAACTTTAGTCCTTACAACTATAAAGATTTGGGATTGATTTAATATCAAATAAAATATTTAGCTGCATATTTGTGATTTATTATTCTGTAACAGTGCATTTTTGTGTGATTTTATGCTTATCACGAAATCTAGAGCTAAAAATTATTTTTGGAATCAGTAAAATTTTACCTTAGAAAAAGTTGTTTTGGTGATGACTGTCAAATTTTGTAAACCATATTGCTATAAAATTTATTTACATTATTTAATAATTATTTACTGGCAATATTGGTTCTAATTGAAGTAACTGTTAAAATAATTTAATATGCATTTAAAATTTGGTATTTAGAATAAAACGTCGAGAACAATTATTTAAAGAATGCATCCTTGATCGGATATACAACTGAGTGATAAATGGTCATGTGACTAGGATTATTTTTATCGGCTGCATTGATTTTAAAGGGGAGGCTCCACTTGGAAACCACAGGTGATCCCTACCGGGACCTACACTACCCACTCTCCAAACATCAACAACCTCAGCCCAGTCACAAAAACATCTTTGCACGCACAGCCAGGGGAAAACATTGGTGCTATCGGAACCGGCCACAATTTGAGTGCCAAGCCATTTGGTCCACAGGTGAGTGCGTACTTTTTTTCATTAGTATTCGATCGGAGTGCCTCAAGGGTAAGGTTTTTAGCCATGTATGTTTGGTTTTCATCATTTAGGATATGGTGTCAAGGTGACCTATTTCATCTCCTAGAAACATTATGCTTTTCTTTGGCAATTTACCCACTGTTTTGAAACTGTACGACACAAATTAATACACTCACAGGCAAAATAATCCATCCACACAAATTTTCGATGAATTTCAATCGCAATTAACTTTTTTATTTGATGTCGGATTTAAACGAATATTAAAGAATATTGTAGATAAATTAATGGACAATCGCTCACAATTTAAAAAATTACAAAAAAACAGACGTACGTTTATTATATACAGGTTTAAACAAAAAGATGTTTTTTACCATAAGTTTTAGACACTATGTAGAGTGGCAAAACCGTATATTGTTCTAAATTAAGTTTTATTTATCAAGTCACATCTATTCTTAACAGTTTTGTTTTTGGTTCACCTCGATTTATTTATTTTTGTGGAAAATATGGATTTTTTAAAAAAACATTGCAATTTCCAATACTTTTCTGTATGAAGAACTAAGGTTGCTATGGCTAGGCTATGGAGAATGACAGTGACAGTTTTGTTGAATCATCCCATACTTTGATATGTCATACTCGGCTTTCAAAAGCTATAAAATTGTTTTTTGCAAATTAATGTTTAAATTTTGAGGTGTCTTCTTACTTTAAAAAATGGATATGTCTCCGACTGATGTTGCCAGAGCCATTAATTTAATCCAGGATGGACGGTCACAGTATTACGTGGCAAATGTTTTAAACGTCACAAGAAGTAAAGTACAAAGGGCAACATTAGTCGGAGACATTTTTAAAAGTATGAAGACACCTCAAAATTAACACATTAATTTACAAAAAACAATTTGATAGCTTTTGAAAGCTGTATATGACATGCCCAAGTATGGAATGATTCAACAAAACTGTCACTGTCATCCTCCATAGGCTATGGATGGACCATAGCAACCTTAGTTCTTCTTACAGGAAAAATATTGGAAATTGCAATGTTTTTTAAAAAAATCCATATTTTCCACAAAAATAAATATATCAAGGTAAACCAAAAACAAAACTGTTAAAAATAGATGTGACTTGATAATTAAAACTTAATTTAGAACAATATACGGTTTTGCCACTCTACAGAGTGTAAACTTATGGTAAAAAACATATTTTTGTTTAAACCTTTATATTATAAACGTACGTATATTTTTTAGTAATTTAGTAAAATGTGAGCGATTCTCCATTAATGTATCTACAATATTCTTTAATATTTGTTTAAATCCGAAAACAAATAAAAAAGTTATTTGCGATTTAAATTCATCAAAAATTTGTGTGGATCGATTATTTTGCCTGTGAGTGTAGTTTACGCCTTAAACACATACCTACTAAACAAATATTCAAATATAATATTTAAAAATTATTTACCTTAGACAAATCACTTAATTTATGTTTTTATTAAAGGTTTTCTAAATTATAGCCTATTTATATAGGTTATTAATGTTAATGTTTAACTTTATATAAATCAATTTTTTTTGTTAATCAATTTCGTATTTATAATTTTGTGATACATTGGGCTAGTTTTAAAAGTATACTTATAAGGTCATAGTTTACATAATACGTTATAAAAGTTCTTTCTCTAATTTTCGATTTAAAACAATGTTAGGAATAAGGCAATATTGTTAATTCAACATTTTTATTTGTTATTTTCTCTATAGAGTATACTTTTCGATTTAAAACAATGTTAGGAATAAGGCAATATTGTTAATTATAATTAACACTATAGTGTTATGCTAATTTGTAAAAAGGAATTTAAAGTATATTGTGCGACGGATAGGAGAAAGGGTAGAGCGTAGAGTTTGGAATTTTATTTGATATTTTATGCATTTTTCCAATTTCAGTTTAAAGCTAACTTAAGCCTGTGGGCCAAATGACATCAATGTTGGAAATTCTCTTATTTCAGAAATACACCCGGTATATAAACTTTACAAAATAAGTATTATATTTTTATCTACGACTGATACGCAAATGTCGTTTGATGATCAAATCAAATGTCATTTGAATGTAGGAAGTGTCTACATATACTGTTTGTTGCGACGTTTATGGTATATTTGCCTGCCGCGGCGATTTTTTAATCCGATTAATAAAATTAACTTAACAACATTTTATGAACGGGTCCAATCGACCTCCGCGACGGTGCTTTTTTAAACGTTTCAGACATTATTAAAAAATAAATAATTTTGCCAGTATAAACGTCACTATTAAAAAACATTGCTTAAAAAGAGATACAAGCCGTAAAAGTTAAAAAAAAAATAGTCTTTTCATCCTTTTAAACCACTTAATCAGTTTTCAGCCGATTTTTCAATCTATGTAATGTACTAGAAATGATAATTATTCAAAAAAAAACATCAGTTACTTGGGAAGCCTGCTGCCCTTTTTACCTCAGTCTTTGATGTAACTAAAAATTCATCTGTTCAATCTAGAGAAAAACTACTGCTTTAAAGTTTTGCTTTAGGGTGTCGCACTTTTTCCAAAAATGACAATATTTTTTCAAAATTCAAAATGTCGGATTTAGTATAAGGGTTTTTTGAGTCGCTTATTTCAAATTTGATGATATATTTCTTTAACTTAAAATGGCTAACACAAAATGGCGGACTTGTACTGCTAAAATTGAATTGAGCTGTAAAAATATATCGAAAATGTATGTTCTATGGATTTTCGAGTCGCTTTTATTCCGAATGAAATGTTATTATTGTAAAAGTTTATTTATAGTTTTTTATTATATCTAATGTTATCTATTATCATAAAAAACATAAATAACACTATGATAGTTTTAGAAACTTTTTTTTCCTAACATTAAGTACTACAGCTTAGTTTAACTAATTTTGGGCCGCTGATTTCAAAAATGTCATTTGTTTTTCTCTAGGACCTCTAGGATTTCAAATAATTTCGTAATAAAATGCTCTGCTCAATTAAATTAATTATTTATTAAATTATTTTGGTTAAAATTTATCTTGAATAAACTAAAGTAATTGGTATATAGCAAATAGATCATATTTATCTTAACAATATGATATTTTAAATACTAAAACTAAAATTTTAATGTATTTTATGTAAAAAACAACCATTATTTGACATTTTTTGTCGTTTATTTTAATTATAATTAGCTTACTAGTTTACAGTCATTTTGCGACTGTGATGTTAGAGGCTGTTTCTTGCTAATTTTGGGTTGCTAAAACCGAAAATGATAGTAAAAATTTCCTAACACGTAAAATTTTTAAGTTATGATTTTTTTTGAAAAAATTAAATCAAGTTATATTAAATTACAGCATGTACCAAAGCAACTTGTGTTCATAATAAAATTGGGTGCTAGTGTTTAAAACGCCAAAACTCGAAAAAGTTCACTTTTTAGAAGGGTTGTAGTCAAGGGGTGAAGGGGCCAAACCACCACCAGTAGTCCAGAAAGTTTATGTAAATTAATATACCGTATCTTCAAATTTCATGTATACAGTAGGCGTACCTCGCTGCGAGTAGTGAGTAGTGAGATGAGTCAGTTGTAATTACGGTTGGCAAAAGAGAACACGTGTTTTTACGTGAACTTTATCAAAATGTCTAAGGTACAGAAACGTGGTTTTATTAACCCCGCGGACAGTTTTTGCTATATATGTGGCCAGTTTATCCCTAAATCACAGAAGAGGACAATTAATAAAATGACAAAAATAGCTTATCACAAATATTTTGGCTGTGTTGTTGGCGATCAAGTTCGGGAGTGGGCTCCTCACGTATGTTGTCAAACTTGTGCTGCAAATCTAAGTAACTGGTTACATGGTAAACGAAATTCTATGCCTTTTGCGGTTCCAATGATTTGGCGAGAACCAACTAACCATTTCAACGACTGTTACTTTTGTATGACAAAAGTGTTTGGTTTTTCAAAGGAAAAACAAGCCTAATATTAAATATCCAGAGATTCCTTCAGCAACAAGACCTGTTCCTCACGGAGAAGGCTTACCAGCTCCAGCTTCCCCAGCAAATTGGGAAGAAGATTTGGGATATGATGATAAAGGAGAACTGAACAGTTCAGAAAAAACGGACCCTATAGGGTATACCTATTCTCCTGAAAATAACGAAAAAAAAGAACCCCATTTTATCGAACAAGCTGAAATAAACGACCTAGTAAGAGACCTTCACTTGTCCAAGGACCATGCTGAGCTAATGGGTTCAAGACTACAACAGTGAAATTTATTGGCATCAGGAACGAAAGTAACAATTTTTAGAACCCGTAACCAGGAGCTATCCTCGTTTTTTACCATGCAAGATAAAATTTGTGTTTGTGTTAGTCCAAATGGTGTTATGGAAAGATTGGGCTTTGCGCATCATCCGGACGAGTGGCGTTTATTCATAGACTCGTCAAAAATAAGTTTGAAGGCGGTTTTGCTTCATAATGGCAACAAAAGGCCGTCTATTCCTCTTGCGCATGCTGTTGGCATGAAAGAAACATACGAAAGTATGTCACAGATTCTAAATTCAATAAATTATGATGCTTACAAGTGGAAAATATGTGGTGACCTAAAAGTCATAGGATTGTTACTAGGACTTCAGGGTGGATTTACTAAGTATTGCTGTTTTCTGTGTCTTTGGGACAGTAGGGCAACAGCAAGCCATTATAAAGTAAAAGAGTGGCCTCAGAGAGATCAATTTATTCCAGGCCAGGCTAACGTGAAGAACATGCCTTTCGTTGATGCCAAAAAAGTTTTGTTACCTCCATTACATATTAAGCTTAGATTGGTGAAAAATTTTGTTAAAGCATTAGATAAATACGGAGATGCATTAAAATACCTTAAACAAATTTTTCCTAAACTAAGCGATGCCAAGATTAAAGAAGGCATATTTGTTGGACATCAAATAAGAAAAATACTAAAGGATGAGAAATTCCATCAAACATTAAGTAATATTGAATTGGCTGCATGGAAGTCGTTTAAAACAGTTGTTTATGAGTTTTTAGGAAACAAAAAAATAGAAACCTACGAAAAACTTGTAAAAGAATTACTCGAGCACTATTGCAAAATGGGCTGTTGCATGTCCCTTAAAATCCACTTCCTCCACTCACATTTAAACTTCTTTCCCAAAATTTTGGGTGCGGTAAGCGATGAGCAAGAAGAGAGGTTCCACCAGGACATCCTAACAATGGAGCAACGATACCAAGGCAGATGGATCCGGCAATGATGGGAGATTACTGTTGGTTCCTTATGAGGGAAAGCGATCAGCAGTATAAGCGAAAGTCAGCATTTGCGAAAAAATTGTCTACAAAAGATTTAGTATAAATATATTTTGGATCCGTGGTAGTAAATAAAACCTGTTATTTTTAAAATATTTTTTTTTATTTCAACTTACAGTATAAATTATACGAAAATTTCAGAAACAAAAATAATAAAACATGTACTCGGTAACACAAAATCTATACGTGATGGAAAATTTTTGAACTCAAATTCGTAATCAGGACACCTCAAATACCCCTTCAGACCTCTTAGCACATCAGTCGCAATTTTTTCTTACAGATTTGTTTAGTAGTGATTATAATTATTAAATTAAAAGGGCAACAAAGTAAACAACAATTATTTATCCAAATTAAGCGCACAAAATTTAATGCATTGCATAATTTTGCTTTTTTCTACCTTAAATTTATTAAATCGTATTAAATATCGAATTGAATTATGGTATTATTGTGCATAATCCTCATCATCATCTTTTGATGCAAATTGCAAATGCAAATGTTTCTTAGCAATGAATTCAACTAGATTTGCAGTTGCTTGGTGAAATCGTTCTCCATGTTTATCAGTTCGGCAAATTTATCGACTATAATTACACAAGAGCTTATTTTTAGCCGGATAATTTTTTGTTTTCCTTAAAAGCTTGTTACCTAGCAATTTGACAAGAAAAAATGTCATCAATCAAAATTGCGAGACCGTAGGTCGAGCGATTTTGTCAGATGACATTTTTTCGAGTCAAATTGCTAAAAGGTAATAAGTTTGAAAGTTAGAAAACATAAATTTATCCTGCCAGAAAAAAGCTCGAGTGTAATTCGACGAAATAATTTTGTGATTAATTGATGATTAAGACTCTTTTTTAAATTTATTTAAATGAACAATTAGTAAATGAACAATTATTATAAATAATTCTGGATGTAGAGGTAGAAGATAGCTCCAGTGTATTATATTCTTCAATAAAATCTGTAATGCTTTCATTTTGAATGTTGTTTTCATTGTTTGACTGACAGGCAATTTTCATATCATTTCGTAAATTTGAAACTATTTCTTTATGATGTGTTGCATCTATTTGTAAATATGGTTTTAAAGAATTGCTATTAGAATGGCCAGTTAATTTAATGAGTTGTTGGTCGCTAATTCGGATACAGTACTGGCTCGGTTTGAATGGTTTGTTATTTTGATCTTTTTTGTGTCGAGTCCAAATTTTGTTTATTCCAAAATGGATTTGGAGTAAGAAACATACGATCTGATGTTATGTATTTGAATCTTTTTTCCAGAAGAACTTTAAATAGTCTTACTGGAAAAATCTTTTAGATCCTCCTTGTGCAGTCTTAGAAAACATTGGATTGTATTCAATTCTGCCTGTGAGCATCCCATCGTTGGTTTTTTCTTCCCTAAAATAATACAACATGCATGCTGCTGCTTCTCCACCTCTCCATGCTAACTCGTAAGAAACAATATGGAAGAATCTTTTTTGTAAACCTTCTGGTTCATTTCCTTTCCATATCTTAGCCATTTTTATAATTTCCTCTTTTGTGAGAGCATTTGAACTTCATTTTCTGCTTTCCGGAATTCTTTGTAACTCCTTTTTTTTTGCATTTCTAGCATCACGGGCCTCTTTGAATGCAATATCGGAAAATGGATTAATTTTGATATTAAAATCTTGATAGTATTTCTCTTGAAGCATTTTTGCCGTTGAGTTCCAAATAGTTTTGATAACGTATTCCCTATAATCATCTCCATTAATTTTTTTTCATATTGTATGCCCAATCAAGCAAAATATTTGCTAAGTCTTGCTGTGATGTTGAGTCGAGTAGTTTGTAATTCCTCGCATTACAAAATGCCATAAATTGTCGCCAAATTGACGCTTTATTATTTAAAGTTTTATTTGGGATACTATTTACAATTTGTTCTTTAATTTTTTTATGGGACACGACACCAAAACGATTCATTTTAAAAGATTTTTTGACAACTGGTATTAAAAAATAATTATTTGCAAGGTTGTCAAGGAAATAAAATGACACGAGGTACATAAATAATTATCCACTTGCAAAAAGTTACCTTCCTTTTTATCCGTTATCAAAGTGACTTAAGTGTAATTTAACTACGACGTTTTCATGTAAGAAAAAAATTATCAGGATAAAAAATAGAAAATGTATTTTAAATGACATATTAACGCTAATTCTTTATAAAACGGAGAGCTTTTTTGCTTGGGCGTAAAGGTACCGCAACAAAAATAAAACAAATTTACAACGACGACATAAAGGTCTCCTTTCTCTTTCTCTGCCACTTCCATTACCACTTCCATTTCCTGCTATTTTTTTATTTTTGGTTCTTAAAATCACTTTAATGTAAAAATACAATTTAAATGTCAAAAATTAATAGATGCACTTTAATGTGCCTGAACGTTAAAGTAGGTAAAGGCGCCTTTATAATTCAATTCGATATTAAATTTTTCTGCAGAAAAGAAATTACCCTTATATAATACTAGGTACTATAGTATACCTACTGCTACAATGAAACAAAAAAAATTCTATTTTTGAAATCAGCAGCCCAAAATTAGGTGTAGGTGGGCGTACTCAATGATAGTAATTCGAACTATCATAGTGTAATTCTTTTGATCAGTTTTATTATTATAAACAAGACAATTACTATCAGAAGCCGAATGATCTTCTGAATTTGAGGTAATATTGTTATCCGATGAGAACTAATTCTAAAAGAAACTGCTTATCCAATCCATCGACAATTTTACGCCGACTGCACTTCCATCAAGTTCCATGTAGTGGAAGGTATTGCCCGTAATTATTAAAATCACTTGAGAAAAATATATTCAAATATACTATAAACAACGAAAAGTCCCTTGGGGATTAGATATCGTATACGATGGGGAATCCCCTGCTGCAGCTTTAATTTATACAAACTAGAGTTGGGTACCGGTCCGTTATCGCTATTTAAAGATTTTTTCTATTCTTATAGATGTATAAACTTTCATAACTATCTAGCAGACTTTGTTCCCTAACTTCCTTAATAAGTTTAAGGTTGTTAAATCATATTCTATGATCATCATCAAGTATATGTTGGGTACCACTCGATTTATTTATCCTACCAAATCCAGCAATGGTCCAAGTGCTCTTTAAACCTTACTTGGATGGATCGTTTAGTTTGTCCAACATATTTCTTGTCACAATCTTGACAGTTTATTTCGTAGATCCCCGACTTTTCAATTTTAGGAATCTTATCTTTGGGGTTTCCTAAAAGGGTCTTTGTTACTTCTACTCCTTAATAATTTCAATTATTGTAAATACTTATTACAAAACAATAAGCAAGTTTACGAATGCGAATGGGGTAGTTAAATTTTTTCTGACCTATACTTTTTATGGTTTTATTCAAGGCGTTTTGTAATATTAAACATTTCTGTGAAATCAGAATTTCAATTGAGTTTACCGTTTTCGAGATATTTACAAAAAATATAAATTTTTATGACGTCACAAACCTCGCCATGTGACCAACATTCTAAGATTTCTTTTGGTTGAAAATTACCCTGTTGTCAAGTTGTCTTGTTAATGATTTCATTCGGTTATGTCAGAAAATACCCGAAGAGGTTATGTACAAATACTGTCACTGTCAGTTGAGTGAAATATGGTCACCAAATTCATTAAGTACCTATCTTCCTTATTACGAGGTATCATATTACTGTTTGATATTTTAGAGTCCAAGAAATATCTAAAAGAATATAAAGAACTAGGCATTATACTAATGAAATGCATTTACGACAAAATATGATTATAATTATAGGTACTTACTTTATTTGTTTAAAAACTGCAATGTTTAATGTAACCAACCATTCCACAAGATTCCTCTGCTTTGGAGTCCGTTATTAATAAATCACTTATCTAATATCAATTACAAATAACATAACAATAACACTGATTTTCAATAATCTAAATTTAAAAAAAACATAACCCGAAAAAAAGAAACGTCAAAAAATAAATTCTTCTTCTTCTCAACTAAAATTTTGGATCAAGTGGTTTTAAAACTAAAATATTATAACGTGGCGCCATCTATCGTAAGAATCTTAAACTAAACACACTGGCAACCATAGAAAAAGCTGGCAACGTTGTCAATAGCCTAGTGACGTAATTAGGAGATTTTTTTTTGTAAATATCTCGAAAACGGCAAACTCAATTGAAATTCCGATTTCACAGAAATGTTTAAAATTACAAAACGCCTTGAATAAAACCATAAAAAGTATAGGTCAGAAAAAAATTAACTACCCCATTAGTCAAAACTAATTAAAGTTAAATGTTTCACAAACGATCTTGATTAGATTTCTGTCTTATTTATTTTTTATTGTTTTTAGTTAAACGGATCAGTAAACGAAGGTTCAAAATTAGTAAATAAACAATACAACACCCCTTTAAAATTGTACTCAGAACAGAGTATAGCTGAAACTTTGTCAGCTCAAACTGAAGTGCTATCGACAGGAGCTTTAGGGTAAGTAAAATAAAAGTTGGTTTATAAACAATATATTTGTTTTCAATAAAAATATTGTACAAAAATAATTATTAAGTATTAATAACAAATGACTTATTCAAAATTGTATATTTTACAGAGTTAATTTCAAGAAAAACGAAAAGGATTACGATGCCTCAAAAAGCGCTGTTTTTCATATGCTAAAAGAAGCTGAAAACGAACCTAAAGGCCAAGAAGGTATATGTATAAACATTGAATTTATTAACTTAGTTTTAAATTATTTTGTATATTGTTTGCTATAATATACTGGGTGTTGGAAAGAACGAACTTCTATTCTACAAGTAAAAATAATGTCATTCGATTTTTATGTTTTCAAATTGCATTTTATTTATTTATTCGTCAAGTGTATACAATTGTATTTCTAATAGAATAAGTTCATCTTTATAAACCAGGATTACTGTGTAACTCCCAGTTAATAATATTTCAGATTTTTTTAAATTATTTTTACGTGTATGATATACACCTACAGATGTACTAATGTTGTAATACTGATGTATTAGTCCAATCAAGCAAAGTTTAATTATGAAGTAAAATATAATTTAAAATGTTGGTAAAAACTTGTGAATTGTTGACTTTAAAAAGAAAAAAGTAAAAACATTTTTTAGTAGTTTAGCTTTCCACAAAACAAGTCAATGTGTGGCTGAATTTTATTTAAGGAACCGAAAAAAAGCAAGATGTTTTTTAATAAAAAAAAACTTTATCAACGTTGTTCCAGTTTTTAAAATTATTTTTATTTGCTAAAAATTGGACTAAATAATTTTTTACATACGTGTAAAACAGGATTAGGTAGATATCATTGTTAAATATTGACAGAATATACTTTATTCTAAATTATTATAGCGGTTTAAAAAAAACAGCTTTTTTACATCTCTATATGCACCGTGTCCAAAGTTATCTCCTCTCCATTGCTATAGTTAAACACCGTTATTATTGGAGCTACAAATTCGGTTATATTAGCAAGGCAACGCCTTTAGACGGTAGATGTCTCCCGACTGACTTGCCGATACATCTCGCCACTGTCCTGGTCCCTTATTTCTTTATAAGTGAACAGTGCCGAGCTTTATGCGTGTCTCCCGTCACTGCCTGACACTGATGAGACCCAACAGGTCGAAACAGTCTGTCAATGTTGGTGGGTATGATGCATTAGTCATTGGACCATACCATTCGGGAGACACGCTTCGAGCCCGGCTCGGTGGCGAGATGGAAGGCATTTCGGTCTTTGCAATATTGGTTGCCTACTACTGGCGTAAAGTAGAAAACCTATTGTTTCTGATATATATATACAGGGTGGAACAATTTTGAAATTTTTGAAAAAAAAAATAAGCGAGAAAAAATATTTATTACGACTCACTCGTCATCTCTAATAAGCTATTCATAAGCTTTTTCAGTCCTGCAGTGATAAAATTGAAACATTACTTTTGGTAAATAATGCGATAAAAACTTTATATTTAAATTTATACTAGCTATTGTTTCTTTATTGTTTTATTTTTTTGTTTTTTTTTAATAAATAATCGTTGTTGGTTTAAAGCCAAGTTTTGTTCGACATTCTTGCAAATCATTAATTAAAGATATGGCACATTTGAGTGAAAGACAACGTTTTAAAATATTAATGATGATCACGAAGATAGGAAGAGGACTCAAAGCGAAGTGTGTACTGTATTCAACGGAATTTACGCAGGTACTCCTGTGTCTCAAGGGACAATCTGTGAACTAATTAAAAATGTTTGAGAATTTTGTAGCGTTAAAGACGTGAAAAGAAGTCGGCAACAAGTGGGGAAAGCTTTAAATGTCTTGTTGACAATTGAAGAAACGCCACAAGTGTCAATGAGGGAAATAGCAAGCAATTTAGAAATTACCCATACTTCTGTACTTGGAATTTAAAAAATATATATATCCTTATGAGCTTCAATTAATACATGAATTTAATGAAGAAGATTTTGATAGGCGGGTGGATTTCAGTGAGTACATGATGGAACGATGTAATGCAGATGAGAATTTAACTTCAAATATTGTATTCTCAGATGAAGCGACCTTTATGCTAAACGGCACAATAAATCGACATAATTGTCGGTATTGGGCAAGAGCAAACCCACACTGGGTGCAAGCAGACACACAATATCTGCAAAAAGTAAATGTGTGGACAGGAATTATTATCGATATCTTCAACTACTTCAAACTCATGTCATACCTGCGATCACCGCCTTATTTCCGGGTGAAAATGGAGGTATTGGCGATATAATTTTCTTCCAACAAGATGGAGCTCCTCCAAATTTTGCAGTACATGCTAGATAGTACTTTAATCATGTTTTTCGAAATTGATCGATCGGCATAGAGGATCTATTGAGTGGCTTGCCAGATCGCCGGATTTTGCGCCTTTAGATTATTTCCTGTGGGGTCATGTTCAAAATAGTGTGTTCAAACAAAGACCACGAATTATGGAGGACCTAAAGCAGAATACCTTCAGAGGTTTTACAAATAGCTACTACCGTAGAATTTAAATACCGTTTAGGTCATTGCTTAGCAGTCAACGGAGCTCAGTTTGAACATTTGATTTAGTATTGCTGTTTTTTTTAGCCTACCTTTTTCAATCTTTACTTAGTACTTAATGTTATCTAAAATTTAGTGTTGTGAAATTTATCAATTATTTGTGATTGAGTCGTAATAAATATTTTTTCTCACTTGTTTTTTTTTTTAAATTGCTTATTTTTTTGAATGAAAATATGCTTTTTTTAAACAAAAATGGTGCCAAAAAACTTAAAACATACTTGGAAATAAACCAAATAACTTTTATATTGAACTTTTTTTTAACTTTACAAATAACAGTTAAAGCCATTACTTAATACTTTTGTTCCACTCTGAATATATTCCGTTGCGGGACTTAAGTACAATCCCGAGTGACGTCATAATTTTACGATTTCATGTACGTGTTACGATAAAACTAAAACAAACCAACCCAACCCAACACTTTTTAACAAAGAATATTCATTTAATTACATATTATTAGGACTATTCCTAATAATATGTAATTAAATGAATATTCTTTGTTATTTCTCCTTCCCTATGGAAGGGGAAATAAACTCTAAAATATTAGTATGTTAAATTAAATAATAATGCTTTTTGATTTCACATTGTAGTATTTCGTTATGTAAATTCATAAAATAAAAATAAAAAAGTTGTGAAGGTGCCAAGTATCGAATCGGGTACATCTCGCCTTACTACCTGAGCTACCCAGCTTAATATCAATTTTAATAAAGCTCAGGGAATAATAATGTCAGTCGGGATCGAACTTTAGACCCGCCTCGGGATACAAAGAATATATTATAGTATATAGGTACACTCCTAGAGTTTGGTGCGCCCATCACCCTTACTCTATATACTGTTGCATGTGAAAAATATCAAAATTATCACCATCTTATGATAAATAATAAATGTTTAAAAATTTAATGTTTAATTTTGGCCAAATATTGTACAATTGTATAATTTTCTATCATGTTGTTGTTGTTTAACTGTGAACTCTTAGAACCAGATTCAGGAATTGTTACCTTGCCAAACAGTGGAATTGCAGGATTAAGACACGTTATGGCTCCTGAAAACAAACCTAAGCCACCAACTCCTCAATTGCCCCCAGGACAAAACATTTGCGCTGATTGCGAAAGGCTCATAGTGTAAGTAATCAAAAAGGTTTTAAATAAAAAAGTGATTTTTAAACTTAAAATAACAATTTTTATTTAAAACCATACGGTGAAAATCTGAAGGACCAAAGAATTTTCAGCACTCTACAGAACTAAATCTGGACAACTCTCCTAACGTATTCAAATACTCGTGATTGGTAACTTTGTAAAGCCAGAAAGCAAATTTTAATTGTGTTTTTTCCTATTTTGCCCCGTTTAGTATATAATCACGCTTTCGGTAGCAGAAGGGTAGCACCGCCGGCTTCTCAGTCGCCATCAAACGTACCCTTAACCTCGCCTAACGATCCGCAAAACACGAAAGATCAACCTGGTGCCACGGTCTGTACAGATTGTGAACGGGTTATAGTGTAAGTCCAATTTATTTGGATTATCGATGTTGTACTTACCTATGTATCTGTTTTATAGACCAGTCTGGTATAGTTATTGTTTTTTTTTAAATATGTAGGTACTTTACAGAATACAGAAATAGACATTATGGGAATTTTGGGAATTTTCTTGGTTGTGCCTCCAAGTTATAACAATTTTTTAATTTCTTATCACATTTTATTAAAACATTATAATTTCATTTAATTTCATTCATTAAGTCACGTCCTCTATATGCTATGTCTTTTTTTACTTTTTATAAACTCCAATATGTATTAAAAACTTGCTGGGCTTCTTTTTTGTTAATATTTTTGCGGAATTGTTTCAGTAAACATTATTGAAACAGCATAAAATGTTTAAAAATTAAAATTAAATATTTTAAAAATTGAATTCAAATTGAATTATTCAATAATTGTATTTAATAGTAAAAAATATAATATAAAGCTCTCCAAAACTATTTTATGGTTTTACTAAAAATATTTACTATTCATCTAAGAAAAAAAATACAGTTATCTGTAACAAAATTTACCGTTTAGTTTATTATTGTTTATCCCAAAAAACATGACAATAATTTATTTAGGCCATATAGTATCTTTGATACAATTTTCCATGCATTCTTGGTTGCATAATATGTACCGATTGCGGGAAAGGCCACCTCTTCAGACAGTGTAGATTACGTGATGTTCTTACATCTCGCCTTGGTTGGCTCAAGTGGGCAGTATATAAGCTCAGGCTTTTGTTTTGAGTGTTTTCCACTACACCAAGTTGCCCGACACTAATGAGATCCAATGTAGGTCGAAACAACCGTCTGTCGGTATTTGAAGTTGGTGGAACGCACTCAAAACAAAAACTATTCCGAGGTGAAGGTTCCATTCTTTTAATTTATATTGTTATTATTATTAAGTGATTATCCCTAATCCTAAAATATACAGGGTGTTTCCTAAGTATGTCCTAAAATGCTTCCTTACTAAGATATAGGGTGTCAAAGATTACTTTTTCATTTTTAATTTTTGTTTTAAATTAAAATTTTTCCAAAACAACATGTGTGTCTGAAAATGCTTTCAAAATACAGGTTGTTAAAAGATTAATACAAAAATAATATTCTAAAAATTAAAAATAATGTTTAACACCCTGTTTACATTAAGCAGCATTTTAGGACATATACTGCCCTACTATGGAGAAACTCTCTAAAAATGAATTAGTCAAAAATGACTAATTTAATAGTTGGTAGTGGCTGCTTTTTCACTTGTACCATGGTTAACCATGAAATACCCTGGTATCCCAAAATTTAACAGCCAATTATTATGTAAAATAGTCCCCTGAATCCGAAAATACCGTCAAAAATTATAAAATTGGGATAGCAGTTTTTGAGATATAGTCAATTCCATATTAAATGGAAAATTGACTATATCTTAAAAACTGTTCTACTTTCTTAATTTTTGACATTTTCGGATTCAGGGGACAATTTTACATAAGAATTGGCTGTTACATTTCGGGATACTAGGGTATTTCATGGTTAACCATGGTACAAGTGAAAAATCAGCCACTACCAACTATTAAATTAGTCATTTTTGACTAATTCATTTTTAGAGAGAAGGCAGTAACTGCTAAACAAGAAATTTGTGGAAAATTAGCATAAACTACATTTTTATAAAAAGTAGTTGGTATTAAATTGATTTCTTTAACTTATGAGATATTTGACTGCATTTCTGTGTTGAATTCGGTTACACAATGTCCAAAGCTTTATCATAGCACAAGAAAACGCATTTTGCATTTTTTTGCAGTTACTGCCTTTCTCCATAGTAGGACAGTATATATGTCATATGTTCAACTTTGGTTCTTAAAATATTGTAAGGAATTGCGTCCCAAAGGTACAAACCGCACTTAGGAAGACCCTTGGTATGTCGGGATCTGGAGAGATCACAGTTGGCCATGAGTTTAGTCGTCAAAACAAATTTTACAAGGGTGGTAAGGTCTTAAGTGGGACACACTGCATATAAATATATATATTTATATATGTACAGTGTGTCCCACTTAAGAATTTTGGTTTTCTCCATCACGAATCATGAAGGGGGGTCCAGACAAGCTTTAAACATTAATATCTAAAGTGTATTCAAATCCAGGCTGGACTAAACAAAAACGCCCAGACGCATGATAACTCGTTCTTATTGGTCGATTCTGATGGTGTGACTCGTATTGTGAGTTCTTATTGGTCGATTCGGAGGATTGTGTTTACATTCAGTCCAGCTTGGATTTGAATAGACTTTAGGTACAAGATTATAATCCAATAATGAAAATTCCCAACTTTTTCAAATTGTTCGTCATTTTCTTACTATGGGTAGGGGAAAGTGGGGGAATATCGACCGTCGGGCAAAATCAACCAGCTTGAAATCTCATAAACTTTATACAGTTAGTATGGTGCCACCAGTAGTCCTGTGTGCATCTTGTCAGTTTTGCTGTTTTTCTTCTAAGGATAAAACGCTTTTAAATTTTCTAAATGAATTTCATTTTACGTTCCTAGGATTTAGGTTTCAAGAAAAATTAGGAAAAGGAAAACTTCAGTTTAAAAAAATAATGACGTTTGGTGGCGGTGCCTTTCTTGTGGAAGTTGACCCAACATGCTGACTGTACTAGCTCTAAAAAAGAGTCAGTGTATATTTATATGTGACACATGTATCCTTAATGTAAATTAAAGTTAAAATGTTAAATTAAATTTATTTCCAAATATTACTGATTGGTCGATTTTGCCTTTACCAGGGTCGATATTACCTATCGGTCGAAATTACCCGATTTTTTTTTCTTTCTCTGAAAACGTACCTCATAAAAAATCCCGTTTTGATAATCTTAATACGAGAATTACTAAAGTATACGAAATGGTTAATAGCCCTTAAGTAGTCGATATTCCCCCCGTTCCCCTATAAGCTTTAAATAAATTGAAAATGACTAAAATAAATACATGTTTAATGTGTAAATTTGTTAAAACGTTTTTTAAATGGAATGATGTATTTATTGTGGTACCATTTAATTTGTCACATTCTGTTTAAGTACATAGTGGATGTAAGTTAAATTAAGATATCGTTTAAACCAGACTATTAAATTTCTTGTTTAAAACATTTTTTTAAACATGCCAATCCTGGTAAATACACAATGTTTAAAGTCGTTAGGATAAAACCAAAATCGTATTTTTAATTAAAATTTATTTATTTCAAAAACATCTCAAGTCATTTTCAATTTTTAGGTATTATCAAAATATAAATATATTTACAAAGTATACTTACCTATACATATTTTTTATGTTGTATTTGTTCCTCCTTTATTATCTTTCTTTTTTATTTTTATATGCATGACTTTAATATGTATGTATATTATGTTATAAGTTATATACATTAGTTCTGGTAGAATAGTTCTGTAAAGTGAATGTAAGCTTGTAATTTAAGCATTACCCTTTTAAATGTGAGCCTTTTTATTAAATCATATTTTTCTATATGAAAATAGAAAAATCATTAAAATTTTAATAAATTATAATTATAATATATTATATAACTAGGTATATATTATATAATATTTAAATTTAATTATAATAATTATTATAAAAATAACAAATAACATATTTTAACTAAAACTGACTAATAGTCAGTACACAGAAAAAAAGGAATAGTTTATTTAACTATATTAATTTAGTTGACCCGTATTTATTTGAATTCAAGGTTAATATAAAGAAAGATTAGTTAACTAATCCTTCTTCAATTGACACTACTAAACCAGATAGTTATATATTTTTAAATTAGTTGAATTAACCCAGAAAACTATAGCTAAACCAACAAGCTGTGTAGTTCAGTTTACTAAATATGTTTTTCAACCTTAAGCACTCTGTTAAAACGATTAAATATTTAGTAGCTTCAACAAAAATGTTTCTACTCCAAATATTTCTATATTTTAAAACATTCTATACCAGTAATGGGTCAAGAAAGTTTACTGAATAAACTAAGAAAATTGAATGTTTACCTTACTTTAGGCAATATTAGTATCTGTGATACAATTTGCCGTGCATTTTTGGTTGCATAGTACGAACCAATCGCGGCAAAGGCTACGTCTTTAGACGGCGTGGATCACGTGATGTTTTTACATCTCGCCTCTGTTGGCTTACTTAAATAAGTACAGGTAGTCTTTTGTTTTGGGTGTGTTCCACTCACAGAACAAGAGAATTAAAAGCGCTGTAGTTAAAAGTGGCAAAAATCATTGGTTGATATTTAAATCTAGTGGGCTTGGAATATTTAATTTTAGTAATGATAAATGAAAATTGTTTTAATTAATAATTTAATAATAATTATTATAATAATTCAAGTCCCGTGTTTAATTCCACCAATTGTTCACTAGCCCCTCGGTTTCTCAAGCCTGCTTGATATATTTTACTGTTGCCTATTGTGAAACTCCCCTTATACTGCCCTGGTTCCACTACACCAAGTTTCCCGACACTGATGGGATCCAATATAGATCGAAACAGCTGTCTGTCGGTATTTGAAGTTGGTGGAAGTTCAACCGTGGAACGCACTTAAAACAAAAACTCTTGAGAGGTAAAGGTTTAATTCATTTAAATTATGGGTCAAGAAAGTTTCTTGAAGAAACCACGATACACAAAAACCGGTATGCTGGTTAATTGTTACAAACAAAATTGTTACAACCAGTTTTGCATATAGGTACATACGCTATGCACGAGTGTTTTAAATGCTTAAGGTGAGTACCAAGCCGGGTTAACTTTAAACCTAGTTAAGTTCACAAATTATTTTGTGTCAATTCAACCAAAGGTATTTAGTACATTGGACTAACATGTTAAGGTCAATTCAATACATGTTTTTTTAACCAAACATATAATAGTTAGGTTAACTAAACCTTTTTTTCTGTGTAGGCAAGACATTTAGTAATTTTTTCAAGAAATATTACTTAAAAACCATTTCCTTAGTTAAAATATAGATGATATTTTTATAATGATAAACTATTTTTAATTTTAGCGGTGTTTTCGTACGAATCAAGGACAAAAACTTGCACGTAGAGTGTTTTAAGTGCGCTACCTGCGGCAGTTCTTTAAAAAACGTAGGGTAAGACAAAGGCACATTGTATTTTCATTATTCACTATTTCTTTATATGTAGGTACTACAACATAAATAACAAGCTTTACTGCGACATCCACGCCAAATCTGCGGCTATCAACAACCCACCTGCTCCCAATTTAGTACCAGTCACCGTTCAACCGTAAGTAGAGGGCAAGGTATTTTAATTATTTTTGCTTATAATTTTTTGTTTCAGGGGAGGAAAGATACCTGCTGACGCAATTTCTGCAGCCCTCTCTACTCACTCTCTTTCAACACCTTCGCCACTATCACCAAAAGGAAACAGTTTTGCTTCACCATATCAAGTAAGACAGACCTTTGTTTTAACGCATCTATAAGGATAAAATTAATATACTTATTACTAATTACTAAATCTAATAATTAAACACAACTTTTAGCCAGAGAAAAATTCGAAAAATCTTGTCACCATCGAAAAAACTGCTGCTGAAGTGACTTCTCATCCTTCTCTTACTTACACTAACATTAACAAAAATAATAACCCTAATAACACTGTACCATTTTCATTCAGCAAATATCTGAATAAGGTAAGTGTGAAATATTGTTCTTTAAAATTCGATTATTTTGTAATCAGAAAAAGTTATGTTATATTGGGGGGCGTCCATTAATTACGTGAGGTGTTTAGGGGGGAGGGGGTCGAGCCAAACCTCACCCAATCTGACGTGGTTGGGAGGGTTGTACTCGACAAATATCAGTGTAAAATTGCAAAATGAATCAGTGTAAAATTGCAAAAAAACTGGGACAATACACACCTTTAAGGTAGTTGTCGTGGTACAATATTGTCAAAATTTATTAGATTATACGCACCGTAAAAGTATACGAGCTTGTAGCTAAGTGATAATTTTTTCGCTAGACTGTACCCTTGGAGAAGTTACGTAATACTTTCAAATATTTTCATAAGTTTTAATCCGGCAACGTCGCTTATGCTCAACCAATAGGTATATTGGAGACTAAATCAGTCTGTTTGAATTTACTGCGGAAATTATATCTATACTCGCGTACAGCGTTGCCAAGTTGTTTTTATCTGACTCACTGGTATGTATATTTTTACAAATTGTTGAACGGTTATTTATAAACAATTGGACGGTCAAAAATTTTTAATTATTTTTTTTAAACTCAGCAAAATTACATTAAAAGACTGTTAGTTTTTTGAAAGCTTCTGACAGTTAGTTTTTTTATAACTAAGAAACTGGTACAGAACTACAGAAAGCGTATACAATCCATGTTAATTATCCATTTTTTAATCGAATTTATCTCGGGTTATAGACGGTCAATCGACTTCAAATTTTAAGGATAATTATATTTTGTCATGTCCTTAATAATTATTACTTAAGTATACAAAAATTTAAAATTTTCTGATGGTATGCTTACAGCACGACAACTACCTTAAATTTATATTTTATATTTATATTTTTATAATCGTACTTAAAAAAACTAATTAATTAATTAAAAATATACCTTTTTATACCTATTAAAGTAGTATTAACATTTTTTGGTAAAAAGTGACTAAAAACAGTTTTACTTGGCTAATATTTAAAATAAGTCAAGTAAAAAGTACTGTTTTAAGTCACTTTTATCATTTTAAAACTAACGTATACTAACTTATTAAACAAATAAAATATACCTAAAGTAAATTAAAATACACTAAATTTGGGAGCAAATGGTCGTTAACCAATATTTTTTTTCATTTACAAATGTAAACAGAACACTTTACTAAAATAATATCATTGTTATGAAGACATATTTAACTTTGCTGCCTGAAATTTCAGTATTTAATAACTCGAAATGCCACAAAAAAATTTTATTAATTGATTTTAAATATACATAAGTTAAGCATTTTTTTATATTATTTTACGTATTTACACTCAGTTGGTAACACAATGTTTTTGTCAATAAATGGCGTTATGGATGGTTTATAATGGCACTAACCTTATTCTCTACTCTGCAATCTGTATTCTATATTCTGTACAATTTATAGGTCTGGTTTAAAATCTATTTCAAAAATTGAAAATGTCGATAAGTCAGCATACGCTAAAGAAGTATCGGGTTTTCGCAACGCGCTCGCCATCTGGTGGCAATTGCGTGTATTTAAGAATTGTCAACAATACATTTAAAGCATATCATCATTTTTAAATAAATAGGTAGTTTTTTCACAAAAGAAAGGAGCAGAAGTCTCACTCGACAAATTTTGTTTAATTGCACAGCTAAATCGCGCACGTTATTTGTGTTTTACGTTGCAAGGAAAAAACTAAAAAATTGGTTTAGTACTCGATTTCGATTAATTACTCTTTATAGCATTGATTACGTTAGTGTGTGTATTTTATCTAAGGGATTATGGTGAAGTAATGTGTTTTTAATTGTAAATAAAATTGAAAAACTAAATCGTTGCATTTTCATGTTTTGCCAAAGGATCCAATTCGGTAAGTACATTTGTTGGTGCAGAATTAACTAATGATAACTTTACCTAAAATAATTTATATGTAAATTTAGACATTTTTAAGAAATTAGTAAAATAATTTTTGTACAAACATAACCTTAAAATCAACCATTTTTATATTAGAGTTCTCTAAAAACGCCGACAACTGCATTTTAAACAACAAAATATATCTACGAATTCATGGCAACATAATATTATATACACAGGTCTGTGATTATATATTATACATAATATAATGGTATTTTACCGTTGAGTGTAGACTTTAAAGAATTCTTAATCAACGCTTTTAATAATTCTAAATGTTGTTTAAATTTAGACTACTTATTTGTTTGACGATTTTTACTGAAATGAAATATTTACACTTTTCACGTTAATCATTACTAAAATGGGTATTTATTGTATCTAATAGATACAATTTATATTTATAGAGACTGTATGAAATTTATTTCTTCATTCGGATTAACACTGTTCATTGGAAAACCGATAAAAACTCCACGCAATATTTTCCTCGAAATACACCCAACAACACAACAAATCGTGCCACGTTTTTTTTTCGATATTTTTTAACATTTTCCGGCTTTATTCTCAAAAACACTCGTTTGTAACCTAAGCGTTTGACAGCTGATTATTAAAAGTTGTACTTTTGTTACGATGATAACAGCCGAGCGATAGTTCTTTAGCGTATAGCATTTGGTACCGATATTTTAACATATGTTGACGACTGTCATGAAATGTACGGAACGTATAAACTAACTATATATAAAAAAATTATATTTATTTAAAAAAAAATAATTATTACTATTATTTTTTAGTTAAAAGGAAAGGTGGGTAATCGGAAGGTATTTGGTTTTTGAATTATTTAATTCCATTTTCATGTTATATGGTTAAGGAACTTTTCCACCAGTCTAATTAATTTGATATTCATACATGTGCTTTTGTAATTAAAATATAAATAAATAAATATGTAAAATTTACCTACATCTTCAATTTTTGAACATTGTGTTACCAACTGAGTGTAAAAACAAATATTTTCATTGGTAAAATAATAAAAAAAAAATGCTTAACTTATCTATATATCCAGTAAAAATAAGCAAGTATAAGTTTTTTATGAAGAAACAATTTTTCGTAAAATAATTAAAACAATATTTTTTTTAGTCCGGTGGCAACATCTCTGTTCCAAAACCATTTTCGAGTGTGAGTGCCCCATTGTCTCCACATAATACTTTACCAAGAGGAGCTCCCTTGTCGCCAAGGTCGCCAATTTCGAATCCACCAGCACCAAGCTTCAGCCCAGCTTCATCTGCAGGTATTTTTATTTAAATTTAATATCTATTAGCATTATTTAACTTTTTCTTGTATTGTATATTTTTACCTACTTTAAAATCTCTCTACTACTACTCTTAAAGTACACTTAAAAGTACACATATTTATTATTTCTGTTTATACGTATTTATAATCATCATAGATCACATCAATATTTTTTAAAATTCCATATTAAAATAATTATTTCGTTTTCTTAGGCCATTTACCAACTTATAGCAAACCTTCTGCCCCCCTTTTTAAAGGTACCTTGCTATAAGTTTTGCTTAAAATTAGAAGCACACGGTGGTTGCTAATACAAAAATAGTATAACTGGAATTTTAATTTACACTATAATACAATTTTTTTTTACAGATCATTCATTTAACACGAAACCAAGGCCATTTTCCTTAATTTTAGAATAATGACTACTAAAAATTATTAGCTTTATACTTTATTTATCTTTTTAAGCATTTTAAACACCAATTTTTATATTTCTGAGCGCTAACATATATTTGTGGTATTTTTTAAATTATAAAACACAATTTTTTTGTATAGAGTCGAGTTATACTATTTTATATTATATTTTGAGTGGTTTTCGCTTATTAATTTTTTTTTCCTTTTTTTTTCACCTCGTGCCTTTGTGTGTATTATGTTTTTTGCTTGTTAAGATTGTAGCGTTCAAAACATTGTGTGGCCTCCTTTTCAAGAAGAACAAGAACTTCCCACAGCTTGTCCTTTATTTTATCCTCCACCTTCCCAAGTTGAGGCACAAATTCTGGCCAAAAGAGCTGAACTAGAGAGAAACGAGTATAGCGATTTGGAAATTGAAGAAATGGCTTACTATCAACAGCCTAAAATGTCTCTTTGTTCTGAAGAGGTTACCGCTTTTACCGAAAGAAAAAGTGCTACTGAATGTATTGAAACAATATCGGAAAGTCTAGAAACCCATAAACTAGTAGAAAACGTTTTAAAAACGAGGCCTAGATCCCCACCACCTTTAGATACAAAAATTCTTTCATGTCCGGAATCCATAGCCAGAAATATTACTTGTTGCCAAGGCACAGATAGTAGTTGTGAGTTAAAAAGACCAACTCAATATAAGCCTAATACTTTGGAATGCCAAAACCCTGGCCAAGTACCAAACCCAGTTCCTCAAGGATGGGAATCATCAATGCTTCAGGCTTTAAAAACATCGTCTGATACATTTTCCCAAATCCCTAGTAAGCATTCTTCCAGTGCGTTTGCTTCAGCACTTAAGATTGCTCCTTCTGAACCATTTACAGCTACAATGAATATTTTAGAACCAGTGCCTTTTCCAGAAATGACAGAACCCTATTTTCCTCCTGAGCATTCAATAATAACTGAAACACCTCTAGAGCCTAAAGCCAAACCAGAAAAAAAATCCGAATCACTGTTTGTAAAAGCTTTAGTTATTGCACCTGACAGACCATTTACCCCAGTGGGAGGTGCTGCGCCAATTAAGAAAAAGGAAGAAGATCCCATTGATAGGTTTATAAAAGAATTGCCAAAACCAGCAGAAAAGCTGACAATGAGAACTGCTTTAACAACTGCACCTGAAAGGCCTTATACTCCGTTACTAACGGAAAGCGTTACAACTAAGGAAATGATCCAAGAATCTAAAATGGACAAATATACCGTGGATAAAACTAAATTAACTAAACCAATGGCACCTGCAATATTACCACCAACTTTTCATGCTCCACAGCCCGAAACTAAAGTCATTATTAAACAAATGCCTCCAATTATAATTCAAGAAACAAAAGAGAGAGAATTCAAAGATGAAAAAGATACTAAGCATGTACGAATTATAGAGAAAAAAGAACTTAAATCCGCCGTTCCCGCAACAATTTCTAAAAATAGAATTGAATCTGAAGAACCTGCAGTAGCTGTTTCCGCAAATTTTCCTCCAATATTTCAAGGATTTTCGTGTTCTTTTCAAAATAAAACTGATCATTCCCAATTTTCAGTTGAGGTTATTACAAGCCCACCGACTCTAACACCAACACCAACTGAAAAATCTCATTCATCAACTAGTTTACCAATTAGCGAAGGAAAAAGTGAATTTATACAAACTGAAAATTTAAGAAAAGAAACCACGTTCAAAAAACAATCTTCAGAAAAAACAGCAAAAACAACTGTTACCTCACAACCAACAGAAATTGTCAGGCAAGATGAACAAGTAATAGTTAAGAAACCTTTACCATTAGCATCTTCACTTCATCCAGTAGGTGGCAAAATCCCCCAATATCAAGTTAACATTTCAGACGAAGCAGAAGCTGAAATAAGGCGCATGGAAAAAATGGAAAAAGCTCAAATACGCATGGAACAACAAAAATCTTTACAACGTGAAGAAGCGCAGGTTAAAACAACCCTACCAGCAGCGCAACCTCCTGTTGAAACATTAAGAAAACCCATAATTACCATACAACCAGGTGACACTCAACCAATGAGATCACAGTTGTTCAAACCAGTAATTGAAGAAACACCATCGAGTAATACATTATCTTCTCGCCCCAGGTCCTCCCCGCGACCCAGATCACTTACTCCTAGCATGGTGAGCAAACCTCCAGCGGTTTTACCTTATTATCAATCTAACTTAGTAGCTCATCAATGTCCACCAGCATCGGTAAATTTGTTGGATCCACGATCACGATCACCAAGTCCTTGTCCAATGGCTAGAGAAAGAAGCCCATCTCCTTTGCCTGGAGGTGCTGGTGTCTCGTCAGTTAGACCAAAATCGCCAGCGGCTGGACCGCCCCCAAATCCATTACAGTCCAGTTGCCCATTGCCTCAACCGATTGATTTGAAAGTGCGACAGGCCAAGGAGAGTTTATCAACTTTTATTCCCCAATACAAAGAAAAGAGAGATTTGGTAGAAATGGCACAAGGTATGGATTTTTATAAAAGGACCGAAGAGTTGACCCAAAATATCGAACAAGAGCAAACTATACAGACAACTCCAGTTTCACTACCAATGAAACCACCAATGCAAGCTCCAATGCAAATGTACACATCTCAAGTACAAATGCAAAACTATACTATTCCTCAGGCCCAAATAATTCAGCAATCCTGCATTACTTCTCAAGAAAGTTGTGGAAGTAATATATGTCAAAAAAGCATGCAAATTCAAAATTTAGATCTACAGAATTTACAAAGCTCGCATTCCACTGTAAGTCAAACTGCAGAAGGATCTGTTGCGACATTAACTTCTAATAGATCGCATCAAGCACAATTGGACGATATGCGAAAAAAACAATCTCAAAGTGTAAATATATGTGAAGATGGCAAAACTCAAGTTCAACGTAAAACAATGGTGACTGAAGAATATGAACGAATTCAAAAAGAACAAGTCATTGAAATTGAAAAGAGTGTCACTACCACCAAGAAACATCCGTTCAGAGACGTGAAGCCTCCTACAGTTGATCAACCTGGAATAATGGGATTGCACGTTACTAATCCACAACCACTTTCATCTCCCTTTATAAGAGCCGATACTTTGGGTGATCTTACGCAAGTGCCTGCACCTAATTCCAATCTTATATGTCCTCCATGCACCAAAACTCCACCCTCTTGTTTGCAACAAGCAAAACCTTCTGAACCCGCTCAGCCTTCACTTGCTCCTCCTCCACCGCCCATTCGAACAGTTTTCGCGCCTGGCTCCCAAGGTCCAATAAAGCATGTTAAAGGACCTGGCTCTCAAAAACCCAGCCAAAATGTGACTATACCCAATATTCCCTCGTCCGATGTAGGTACTGGTAGCGGTCGTCAAACTGGTGCTATTGGCGGCCCTAAACGTGGACGCGGTATTCTTAATGCTGCCGCCATTGGTGGCGCTAGAATTCCTCTTTGTGGTCAATGTCATAAACAAGTCAGGTTAGCCTTTGTCAGTGTTCTTTGTTTGTGATTGTATTTTTATGGTTTTGCTTATTTACCTTTATTTACGCTTGTAACTCTTATTTTTTAATTGTATTTATTTTGAAAGCATGATTTTTAATTAACCGTTTTTGTATGATTTTTAGAGCATGCATTTGAGGCTTCTCCTAGCGAAAATACACTGCTAGCTGATATTAAAGAAATGGATAACATTTTATATAATGATGTAAACTTACAACCGCCTAAATGCCCACCACCTCCTCCTCCTGTTCCCGTTTATAGCCAAATAAATATAAGTATTCCATTCCAAAGCACGGGATTGGATTCCAAAGGGTCATCACCCAGATCTGACTATTCGTCATATTCGTCTTCGAGTAGTAAAAATCCAACCATGGAATCAGCACGTGAAAAAATTCTTTCGGAAATTATAAATTTTACACCGAAACTAAAGAAAGTTAATCTCTCTAATACACAAAGTCCAAGAATAAATTATTTTAACAATTCTGATAATTTCACAATTACGACTACAACAACAACCACCTCCAAATCAGTAAAAACTAACGAAAATGTTGATTCCAATTTTGATAATCTAAAACCAGTGGGAAACGTTCAAGTAAAAACTGAGTTTACTATTCCAATAAACGATTATTCCGATAATATGTTCGTCAATCCGATTCCCGATCAATTAACCTATTCCAATAAAAATAACACCCATACATCTCAAACCGAAGATGTCAAAGATTGTAAGCCGAAAGCTGACTTGCCAGATGTGCCTTTATGTTGTAAATTTAATACTGAAATTGCAAGGTAAAACATTTTACTATTTGATCTTCTATTAACTATATTCCTAAATCATCCAAAATATCAATTAATATTGTTAAAAATATAGGGGGCCATTTATCACCGCTCTGGGGAAAATCTGGTGCCCAGATCATTTCGTTTGCGCAACTCCATCGTGCAGACGTCCATTGCAGGATATTGGTTTCGTAGAAGAGAGAGGACAACTCTACTGCGAATATTGTTTCGAACAGTACTTGGCTCCTCCATGCTCCAAGTGTAATGGCAAAATTAAAGCTGTAAGTATAAATTCTTGTTTTATTTCATACATTACCTACAGCATGTAAGGCACACCTAATTTAAAAACCTAATTATTTGAGTATTTCGTAATATTAAACTATAAAACCAAGTTTTCAGTAAATTTGTTTGTGTAAAGTTGCTTGTATGATCATGTCCCTAATAACTAATAGTATATTTTTTATTTTAGATTTAATGTTAATTTAAGTAAACTTGGACTAAACCATTTTAAATTTTTTATTTTTTTTTTGTATAGGATTGCTTAAAAGCCATTGGCAAGAACTTCCATCCTGAGTGCTTCAATTGCGTCTATTGTGGAAAACTTTTCGGAAACTCTCCATTCTTCTTGGAAGATGGCAGCCCATACTGCGAAGCTGGTAAGTTAATAAAACTTTAAAAGATATACTTATAATTTACTGCTTTATGCTAGTTAATCTACAAATTTCGTCTTTCCTTTTTTGTTTCTTCCTAGTTTTTTGCATCTCTCTTATTGTCACGTTTCCAATTATATGAAACCCTTAACACATTGAGAAACTAGCACCTATTTTGGAATATTGCGCTTGGTTTAATACTGATGATGAATGATTTGAAACCAAAAGTAAATATTGCTTTAAATATATATATATATATCTCCCCCTTGCCTTAGTCCACAATCTCTCGTAACTCTCCAACTTAGAACCTAAGTTTCTACTCTCAATATTCAACCACTAGAAGGAAAAACAAGCTTTTATGTCAAAAACTCGAAACATTTTTTAAACTTCTAGGAAATGTGAATTTGGAACCCAACAATAAATTTGTTTTGATATTGAAAGTCTCTACACCAATGTCCCACTGGAAAAATATCTCCAGATAATTCGAATGTTGCTAGTATCACAGCTGCCTTGAAAACATGTATTTCCAAGACAAGAAAAAGGTTCACCCATGGGATCACCACTGTATCTCGTCGTAACCAACTGATACATAGAACACTTGGAACAGATAGCATTTAACAAATATGTAAAACCGAATAAAGGAGACGAGACCTTACAATAAATCTACAACCACATCAGCAACATAGGAATCTACAACCATCCAGAATCTACAAAAACAGGAGTAATCGTGCAAAAAACCTATAAATGTAGCAACAATACCACATTCCAAGCAGTAATCAAAACTATCAAAAAAGACCTAAAGCGAAACAGATATTTTGAAAAAATATTTACAAAGGACTTCCCAATATGGAATCCACATACACAACTTAACTCATAGAAAACAAAAACTCTACTCTGTATGTACAATACATCAAAAAAATATATAAAAGAATTGCAAACAAATTTAACATACATACGGTATTTAAATCAACAACCACATTAAGGGACCAAAACAATACCTGAAGCCCAAAAAGACACAAGAAATTGCATTAACCATGTGAAGGTAAGAAGTCGTATATGGGAGAGACCAAGAGGACATTGAAGACAATATCAAAGAAACACAAAACACATACACAGAGAGCTGAGACGGTAAAAGCAGAAATTGCAAAACCTGTTTGAAATCAACATCACAACATACTGTGGCAAAAATACTAGGAAAGGAAGATAACTTATTTTTGTATAAGGTTCAAAGAATCAGTACCTTCCAAATAACCTAAATATGTTTAACAATCTCAGTCTTAAAATAAAAAATGTATGGAAACCTTAAAGCAACCGTAAATCAACAGTCCCTAGGCTGTGAGACAAAGTTACCCGCAACCAGGGGGTAACTTTGCACAGGCAGTTTTTAATTTTTATTTTTGAAACTCAGCCCTATGTAATATTATAACATAGTTATTATGAAAGAGCAACTCAAGACTCAAATTTTGGTATATAAAATTTAATGTTTATGATTGTTAAAATCACAAAAATTTTAAGCTTATGTTTGAAAGTGAGCTAAAGCCACCCGTGTTTACGGTATACTGTTTGTTGCGACGGGCGATTTTTTAATCTAATTAATAAAATTAATTAACTTATTAGTTTTATTAAACATCATTTTATAAAAGGATCCAATCGACCTCCACGACGGTGCTTTTTTTTTTAAATAATATTTAGTTGCTACTGAGGAGCAGTAGACACATGTTAAAATGTATAATGGGTTCCATATAAAATATATTTTTCAAAATTGTTTTTATACTATAAAAAAATAATTTAGATTATACCGAATTAAAAAAACAACTTGTAAAATAACGGACACCCTAATGTATATTATTAATGCCATATGATAGTCTTTGGGTAATTGTTATCATGCTTTATTGTAAACACAATAATAATAATAAAAAAAAAATTATTTTAGATTGGAACGAATTGTTTACCACAAAATGCTTCGCTTGTGGTTTTCCAGTCGAAGCTGGTGATCGCTGGGTAGAAGCTCTTAACAACAACTACCACAGCCAGTGTTTCAATTGCACTGTAAGTATTTGTTTAGAGGTTATTATTTTAAATTCTAATGCGTACCATTGTATATATTTTTAGATGTGCAAGAAGAACTTGGAAGGACAAAGCTTCTTTGCCAAGGGAGGACGCCCATTCTGCAAAAACCACGCTCGTTAAGAACGTTATATTAATATTAATAATTATTATTATATATAATATTTATCAATTGCTTTTTAATGTTACCAATTTTTGCTTATACAAATTTGTATATATTTTATTTGTGTAAGGTTTAACTTAATTAATGTTACCAAATTTAATGCTTTTTATCAAAACATATTTTAAATTGTATATGCTATTCTAAAATTAAGTAATTTTATTCAATTATTCTATATAAATTACTACCAGCTGTAGTAAGTACTTACCTATTATTCCTATTTATTTAATAATTAAAAAAATATTTTAATAATCTTATCAAATAATTGTGCGCCTAGTCTGTTTGTTTTAAAAGTGGTCTTTTAAGAAGTATACAAGTGTAGATATGATATATATTTTTAAAATACTGTTTGTATTATTTGTGCCATTATAATTTATTGAATGGATTGTTCGCTAGCCTATTATTATATATTTATTTTAGTTGTAATATATGTTTTCATTTCCTTTCCCTTTAGCACAAAACTCTTTGAACCTACACCTCGCCAAAGTTTTTTGTTTTGAGTGCGTTCCACTAATTTCAAATACCGACAGACAGCTGTTTCGACCTATATTAGGTCTCATCAGTGTCGGGCAACTTGGTGTATGTAGTGGAACACACTCAAAACAAAGGACTCCCTGAGCTTATATGCTTGGTTAATAAGCCAACAGAGGCGAGATGTAAGAACATCAGGTGATCCACACCGTCAAACGACGTGGCCTTTGCCGCAATCGGTACATACTATGCAAGCGAGACTACACACATCAATTGTATCACAGATACTAATATGGCCTAAAGGAATCTAGAATTAACCCAACCGGGCTAAACATTAAGGTAAACATTCAATTTTCTTAGTTTCATTAAGAAACTTTCTTGACCCATTACTGGTAATATTCATAAGAAAAAATTTAACCTACACCTCGCCAAAGATGTTCTTACATCTCGCCTCTGTTGGCTTACCAACCGAGCATATAAGCTCCTTTGTTTTGAGTGTGTTCCACTACACCAAGTTGCCCGACACTGATGAGACCCAATATAGGTCGAAACAGCTGTCTGTCGGTATTTGAAATTAGTGGAACGCACTCAAAACAAAAAACTTTGGCGAGGTGTAGGTTCAATTTTTTTTTTATGAATATTACCAGTAATGGGTCAAGAAAGTTTCTTAATGAAACTAAGAAAATTGAATGTTTACAAAACTCTTTATTTACACAGAGAAAAAGCTTTTATATTGTTAATGGGTTAACCACTGAGCCAATGGTATGTTGTATTTGCAATGCCTAAATTACAGCTGTGATTAAATGAATTCTTGTATTACTTTTATTTGTGCAAACCTGCTTAAATTTAGTTCAAACATAAGAAGTCATTAAATTAAATTGTGATTCTATTAAATCCGCATTAAAACTCACTTGGTTAAAACATAAGAAATTATTGAATTAAATTATTATTTAATTGAAGCCACAATGAATCTTAATGAAAAACTATCATTGGCATTAATGAAGTCATGGTGTTATGGTTGTGCAAGCATTAGTTGTATAATACATTAATATGAACTTAATAAAATGAATTCCGGACACTGCTTCTGGAAGTCTTGTGTACACAGGTTTTTCGATCCATAACATGAAATTGTTCTGTTTTATGTAGGAACTATTAGGAACCCACTATAAGTGTTGGTGATATTAGGCTCTAAGAAAGTTGCTGACCCATTACTAGCAACAGTTACTGTACTGGATGTGCAAGATCTGTCTGCCATGGCACATGGTTATTCTAAAACGAAATAGGAATTTCATCTTATGTATTTAGAGGCGAATCCTAAAGATTGCTGAAAGTCCTGAAGCAATATATACTTTCAGGACGCCCTGCAAGGATATCGTGATGGTACTAAAAAGAAGTTTTTTTATAAATAAATAAAAACTTCGTCCATTTAAAGGCATGACACCGAATATAAAGATAAACTGTGTCCATGGTATATATATATATGAGTACACATTTACCTTTTTGTTATCATTTAGATATAATTGAGTAATTAAATTACTGGATAATGCATGGCGGACATACAATTAAAAATCATGTACAACTTACCTTGAAAATTCGGGATTAGGAAGTACAACTCCCAAGAAATTAGCAAATATAAAAAACAACCAAACATGTGTAGTGCACTACCTACACCAGAGATAACCCATACACTTACATCAATCGGCATCACCAGAAATACCGATTAATCAGTTGATCACATTGCAGGTTGCCGATGTGTGGTGTGGCAGGGGATGCCCTAGCGCGTTTGTCTGAATTTTAGCAATCATTAAATTAAATATAGGCCGCATTGAAAAAATGGGAATGATAATTGGGCAAATAACAAGTATTTTTCAAGACAGTGAAAACATTGGTATTCACTGTAAAACAGTAAAAACTTACTTTACCTTAGTTTCCATTGGAATAAAAATCATAAACATTAAAAGAAACAAAGACTACTCTTATTTCATTTGTTTTTAATTTTTGGTTGAAGCATTATAACTTTTAATATAAATCAATTTTATATTTAATTATAAACTTTGAATTCAATCATTTCTAAATTTTTCAAGGAACTACACATTTCCATTAGGTTTAAATCTAAAGAGCCATTCACTCTATAACAAGTAATTTTAACTTGATAATATTTTCTTATGAGCTGAATATAATATTTGTAATAACATCAATCCCTTACACTCAATTGCTCCAAACATATTTGATTTTGAATAAACTTTAACTTTTATTGGAGAAATGAAAAAAAAAATCAATTATAGCATTGTTATTGACTATATCAAAGCAGTTTTTATGTGTAAGGTAATTAATTAAGAACATAATTAATATTTAAACTTTATTGAAGCTTAAGTCAGCACTTATGTAAGGCAGTGGCAGCAATTAAATGCTGTTACGTAAACTTTAAGAAACATTTTATTGTATTACATATTTTGTATAGAAAAAATCTTTAAGAACATCTGCTACATCTGTAGCAAATTTAAGCAGAAAAGGGCAGTTTGTTTATTTAAAAAGAGACTTAAATATCATCATCTTCATAACACACTTATACCGAAGGGATCCATACATCACCAGTCATGCCGACATTACGCTGCAAGAACTCGTTTAGTTGGCTTTCTGACGCTGCTTCATGCTTCTTTGCTAATTCTTTCGCGGTTTTTGTAAATTTTATAACTTGATTCACCATATGCTTTATGTTTTCATTAGCTTCAGTTTTAACATTATTCTCTACATTAAATGGCCATAGCCTTATCCATCCTCCTTCTCTTGCATTTGGAATACACCAATTTCTTCCATTGCCCCAGTTTTTATGAGATGAGAATTTTTTGTAATCTTCCTCGACCTTATCAAAAGAAATATTAATTGTTTTATTATTACCATTTACTAGATTTCTTACTGTTTGTCCATTTAAAGTTTGATTGTAGCTCCTTCCATCCAATTGCACCTTTGGTAAATTTACTGTTTCTAAAGCAAACAGGTAATCGTAATGTTATTAATATAGATATTAGGTTTTACCTTTTTGAGAAGAAACATTTCTTCTAACTTGAGATGCAGACGTATTTCTTACTCTTGACCTAACAGCTGAAGTAGATCTCGCACTTGCTTGTCTAGATGGCATTTTTCTTTGTTTCTTTCTCCATCTTCCTGCAGCATTTATAACTGTCACTGTATTCGCCAATGTTAATTTTTCATTTTGGTAACTAAAAATAAAAAAAAATAAAAAAAAACATATTTGTATTAGAACTTACTTTTTGTTTTCTTCCTTTTCATCATCTAACCATATATTAAAAACAGATAATCCTGTATTATACAAGGGAAGTCCAAGCAAGTCAAACATATCATGTAACATGGGCTTTTTCACTAATCTGTCGGCATCACAATCATTGCTTAAAGCAGGACTTAAGTTTACCTTAAAAATAAAAAATAAGGAATAGGAAATTCAAGTTTATTTCGGATATCAAATCAGTTCAAATAGGGGCATTAATATACTTAAAAAGTAAGTAAAGATCTAGACATGGAATTTTACAAACATATGATAAATTTATTTTGTACATTCTAAAAACGATTAAAATAAATAATAAACATTGACTTTTAACCACTTTGTAGTAAAATTTGTAATTGAAAATATGTAAAAATATTTAAAAATATAAAATTATACCTCTAAAAGCCATGGTTTTAAAGAATTATCAATTAAAACATCAAACCCAAAAAACTCGAAGCAATTTATAGATTTTGGAATTTGGTTAACATGACTTAATACTGTTAAAATCACCAAAGAAGTTATTCTTTGCCATAACAACCAATCGTGTATTCCGGCTTGTTGGAAGTATCTTCTCAATTGTCTAAACGTCCACTTGCAACCTTAAAAATAATTTAAGAAAAAAGTAGGTACTTATAATCTTGTGGAAATTTTTCTCTAAAAGTTTAAATAAGTATAAATAAGATTTTTGAAGGTCTTAAGAACTCTAAATAAGACTTATTAATTTGTAAAAATTTAGATTAAGTCAAAAAACTAAATCTTAGTAAGTCAGACTAATAGCAAGATTAGGGAGTTAATAAGACTTACTTAATATGACTTCTAGTAGAGAAATGGTAGGTACTTATAGCGATTAAAATAAATATCAGAAATTATTCAGAGATGTTGTATTTGGTTATTTGAAAAGAAACCATAAAGAAAATTATTTATATATACTATCTTTGTATTGTTATAAGGCTTCTAACAACACATAAGCAATGTTTACAATATAGGTAAGCAAAGTTTATTTCAATTTATCACAATAAAACAGTTGACACACGTTTTGTTTATCTACATACAGATCACAACTTGTGATTCACAAGGTGTAAAACTATAACATTTCTTAGCAACGCATAGGCATGATGTATTCTACAGCCATTCGGCATAAAACAAATATGGTTGATCTTTGAGCTATTTTGTGTTTTATAGTACAGTGTTGCCGGATAAATGTCATGAAAGTTCCTGACCAAAATTACAAAATACTAAAAAAAACTAGTTTTATTTTAAATTTACCAGCGCATTTGCCCTGTTTTGAAAAATGAATTCAATTTTTTTATATAAGTATGTGTGAGTATGAGTATAAGAGACGTATAACCAGCCCCATTTCATCATCACTCCCGGACCCCGTACAGGCCTACTCTCTAAAAATGAATTAGTCAAAAATAACTAATTTAATAGTTAATAGTGGCTGCTTTTTCACTTGTGCCATATTAAATGGAAAATTTACTATATCTCAAAAACTGTTCTACTTTTTTAACTTTTGAAGAAATTTTCGGATTCAGGGTAAAACTTTACATAAGAATTGGCTATTAAATTTTGGGATACCATGGTATTCGATGGTTAACCATGGCACAAGTGAAAAAGCAGCCACTATTAACTATTAAATTAGTTATTTTTGACTAATTCATTTTTAGAGAGTATGTTTACTTACGCCGATTTTTGTTCGCACCCAGCAACTGCACAACTTCACCCGTGTTTGCTATTTGGGGCTCGAGAGCGACATGAGAATGGTTTTAATAGCCATTCTCGGGTTCGCCGAGCCGATACTATACGCTCAGTAGGGTATAGAGGAGGAGAGACGGGAGGGTGTTGGTTTTTGGGGGACAATTACGCCGACTTAAAACTAAGTACGGCGCGGAATCCCCCTAGACCAGTCGATTAGTATTACTCCAAACATTTGGGATTACTATTTGGAGTTGTGGAGTTGTTATTTCGCTGCAGGGGTGTAGTTTCCTAGTCGAGGTCTTCGTCTTGTTCGTTGCTCCCAACTGGTCTTGTTAAATTGTGAGAAGTGCATGTTTTGTGCTAACGTATTTTTTTTACTTTTAGTGTCTAATGTGTTTACATAATCCATGGAGTTTGATTAGAGTGCTTTTTTTTACTTTGTGTATGTTTTTTTAATTTATGAGTGTTATTTATGTTTTAAGTGTCAAATATTTATTTGGTCTCGATTTTGTTAGTCTTGGATTGTTTTGTTGACAGCTTTATTATGGCCCCGATAGGCTTGTTGGGAAGATTGTTTTTTTTTTTGTTAGTATTGACTTTCAAATGTATTTATTGTTTTTTTGTAGGGATTAGGCAATGTGCCTTGTCTAGTTTATTTTGCAAATTATGTGTTAGGTCATGCAGATGAGTTGAGGATACTTATCAATTTTTTGCAGGTGGCCTATTCCTCCCTTGTTTGACATCTTTTGTTTGGCCAGTGAAAATCGTCACTCTTCCTTTCACATGGCACTTAACACATTCTTGACCGTAGAGTAGTCTGTACTCACTGTAATTGTTACACTATAATTGTTTGCACTATGAGGGATTATTTGTTGGTTATGGTTTTCACGTTTTACGTTTTAAGCTCTGACTGAGCTAACAAGCGAACTACCCAGTCAAGAGCTGGGACGAGACTGAATTCAATTTTTTTTATATAAGTCAATAAAAATGTAACAGGATATAATAAAATAATTATGCATATTTAGTAAATATACAATATTTTTTACTGAAAATGTCTACCCACACACATGACGATTTTTTGATTTTTGAATAAAATTCCCGCAAACGACAACACTGGGTACGTACTAACACAAGAGCCATGGTACTAAGACTGTTGTCTTAGTACCATGGTACTAAGACTGTTGTCTTAGTACCATGGTCTAAAAAAGTTTTTCCTATTGGCAATCCGATTCGGGGACACACTGTATACTGGTATATTATAATTTGTAAAAAATAATAAATTTCACCTCTTGTACCAAAATCCTATGCTTTTTATTTCGTTTAATATAATATAATATCCTCAATTATACTCATTAAAAAAATCAGCAAAAAAAACATTTTGAATTTCCTAAATTATCTCAAAAAACGTGTGATTAATTAACCTCAAATTTTGCAAGAGTTTTTTACAATTTGGAAGTAATGTGTGTGTCTAGCCCAGTTATTATTTTTTTAATTTATACAGGGTGTTTGCTAATGGGATGCTCAAAAACTTAAAAATTAAATATACATTATATAAGCACGGATTTTAATCTACGACCAAAAATTAAGTTATTATATGTATAATATACATTGTATATACATAGGTTATAATTAAAATTATTATAACTTGGATTATAACAACCCAGAAAAAATGTTAATGAATACTTTTTTTCGAGTTTTATTTTACAATAACCAAATAATGAATGAATAATTCCGGATATTTATTTTTATCGTTATAGGTCCTATCATTTCTCTGCTAAAAGTCTTATTAAATCTTCCAGAAGACTCCCAATCTTAGTCTGACTTACTAAGACTTATTCTTATCTATCTTTCCGACTTATTAAAGTCTATTTAGGGTTTTTGGGAGAAAGTAAGACTTTCAAAACTTATTTTTACTTATTAAAACTTTTTCAGAAAAAAACTTCCACCAGGGTAATGTTAAGTTTTTTACCTGAACCCACTCTTTCTTTAAGTTCGTTATATCCTGGTCCCAATTTATTTATAGAGCTATTTGTCAAATGCCTAAAAGGATTTCTAAGATCGTTAAGACTAAATTTATCAGTTCCGAATCGGGCAAGGCCTTCTCTATACATAAAAATAGTTAAAGGATGATATGATGGAATGCAAACGTAAAGTCGAAGATCAAATTTGTAACCTCCAATCAGTAATGGCTTTTCAATGTATCTTTGTACAATGGTATTGGTATCATAGTTTAGTTCGCTTAGTTTCTTAAATATGTTATAGTATAGTATAAAAAATAAATTTCAAGGTATAAACATACTCTAAATAAAAATATACCTCTTCCTTGGCTTTGAGCAGCTGGTTTACATATCCATATCGGCTTTTCTTCAAGGTAAGTACCTCGAGAGTTTTCCTTGCAAGGCAAAGTTTTTCCTTTACTACATTCAGCAGCCAGTTTAGTGTATTCTAATGGTAAGTTAAATCCGTCAGGGCTACAATACATTTATATATAAATATATACAAAAATAGAATTAAATTAACAAATATACATGAAAATGAATTTAATGTAGAAAATTACAAATTTGTTTCTAAAATTATAAAACTAAATGATCTGGAAGAAACGGCAAATTAAAAAATAATAAGAAAATAAGGGCAGATTTAATATTTTTATGGAGGTGGACCTTGAAACACTCAAGAATCTAAATATTTATTTATTTAAAAAAAAATTTTATCGGATGGAATAGCTGTAAATTGTTTAACGATTATAATGTAATACGTTGTTTTAACTGTCATAAATATGGTTACATTCTAAAGGATTGTGAGGAAGACTTATGTTGTCCAATTTGTACTGAAAATCACAAATTTAAAGAAAGCAGATCCGAAACAAAAAAACGCATAAATTGTGAAAATGCAAATATAAAATATAATTTGGATAATTCGGTATGGAGTAAGAAGTGTCAGTGCCTAAATAAAATAATGGAATCACAACGAAGGAAATTTGAAAGCCAAAAATAGCAATTACAGATATCTGAAAAATCTAAAGGAGGTATACTATGTTTAAATTTTCAGGGATACATAAACAATAAAAATGAAATTGAGATCTTGTTAGAGGAATTAAAACCAACCATTTTGTTCCTGTCTAAATCACACATTAATTCTGAAACTACTGATACTGTATATAACATGAAAGGATTGAAACCACATTTTCGTTAAAAGATTTGAGGTAGTGAGAAAGGAAAATTTTAATAATACGTCATGGTGCAACCCTAATTCATTACATAATAGTAAATAATAAAAATATAAAATACAAGAATCATTAAGCTCCAAGGATTAGTGACCACAACATATAGTCTTTAACACTAGTTACACTAGTAGGCACATCAGAAGTTCATCCGTTGCTATAAAAAATATAATAAAGAATATATATGGAATCCATGAAACAATTCGTGCACAAATACTAACGAGTTAGCACATCAGTATATTCAAGGAATATCAGATATTTTAAATACTATGTGCCCAATTTTCTACGCTGGTAAGAGATAGAGATAACGATAACTCCAGTACCAAAAGTGTGTAACACAAAAAAGTATAGTGAATTCAGACCTGTTTAGGAAAAACCATGGAAACAATAGTAAAAGACCAAGTTCTAAACTTCTGTTCGAAAAATAACATAATAACGAAAAAACAATCAGAATTTCGAGAGCAACACTCTTGCGAGACCGTAATAATAAAAATATGCGATGGATGGTTAAGTGCTATGGATAATAATTTTTAAATCTGCCTAGAGCTTTTGAAACCCACAACCGAAAACTTTTAATATGTAAATTTAAAAAAATGGGTTTTAATAACAATAATCTTGTAAGTTATGTAAAAAACTGTGAACTGTGTCTTTTTGCAGGCAATATAATGTTATATGTAAGTGGAAAAGATTTAGACAGTATGTTGGAAAAAATTAATGAAGAAATGCAATCTCTTAATGAATGGCTGTGATGATAGCTTAAGTGTAAATATTAACAAATCTAAATATTTAATAATTGGTTATAGGCAATAAACAAAAACTATTATTAATACGTACATTCATATTAAAGGCGTGGAGCTACAAGGAGTAAACCAAATTAAATACTTGGTAATTTTATATGAAAACTTTGGTTTTAAGACTTATGATTTTATTTTACGTAAATTTTCCAAAAAAATATATTTTTTAGATCGGATGTATATTTAAGTCCGTATGTCAGAAAATTATTATTATAACCACCAAAGTTTAAAATATTTTCTTTAAATTTAGCGCGCACCCCAACTTTAAACGCTTAAATCATTGCCCGACTGCATAATAGGGAAATAGTAATCCCAGAAATTTGCGCTTCCTATACGTCACACATAACCGATACAACACCCGCAAGACGGGGATAATACGCGAATTTTTGTAAACATTGAGGCTCACAAAGTTGGGCTTGTACATTATTATTTTTAACAGTAACATGCATGTTGCCAAATGCTTGCTTTGATTTTGAACAAGGACGCTCGTTATTTAAATGTTTCTTTTTTAAAAATATAAAAAAATAAGTCGGAAATGATTAATAAATGATTCCATTGTTCTACGAGTCGTAGAACAATGGAATCATTTATAGACTACGACATATTATTATATAATTAACACCCTACAACAAAAAATAAATAAAGATTACTATACCTAAATTATTGAAGTAAAGTAATCTTTATTTATTGTTTGTTACTAGGTGTTAATTCTATAATTATATATCATGGAACAATGGATTATTATAATCCCTTGTCGGATTTCATGGGTGGCTATTTGAAATTTGACAACGTTTTACTGTTTACCCCGACCGCCCCTCAACACCGGGATCGCAACGCGTGGTTTGTTTTTGTAAACCTATTTGTGATTTTAATTTTTGAGGCGGGTTTTCGTTTTGCTAGTTAAAAAACTTATTGTTGTGTTGCCTGTTGCTGAAAGCAGAAAGGAGGTAAGGTAAGGCAAAAGCCCTTACATCAATTAAGTAAGTCGATTTGTTTTTTTTTATTTTATTAATACAGTATTTCCAAGGTTTCTTTTTCGTTTCGTTTAATAAAATTGTTTAGTCTTTGTTGTTATTAATCTAAAAACAATTATTGCAAGATAGGTAAAAATGAGCAGTACCTTCTGGGTAATGTGGAAACCTGCTGAAGGAATAAATAGAAATCCCACCTCATCCCACAATTTTTGCATTATTCTAGCTAAATTTTGAAAATTCTTCCCGCGAAAGACCATTTTTATAAATAATATATTTTTTTATTTAGATTGCTCCGAAAACGCGTGACCTTGAAAATTTAAAAAAAAATGCTTGCAGTCTCACCTTCATCAATGGTAACGAGCGGCCACTAATTACATACGATTACTGTGTAAAGTGTTTGAATTGTTTTAAAATAAATAAAATATAACAGTCGTCGTTAAAGACAACAATTCTTTTACTCACAATGTAATTGAAAGAATTGTTCTCTCACATCCAGATAAAAACCAGTTATTACACATTACACATACCCTAACGTTTTGGCATTGCCCATTTAATTTTAATTTCGATAATATAAATTGCATTTTTATTAAAAAGTATAATGAAAACATTACAGTCTAAAGCCCGCTGCACAATAGCCCGATAACGGGAACGGGAACGGGAATCCTAACAATAAAGGTGGGGGAGACTAAAAAACCACTGTTGATAGATAGGGTTCGCTGAGTCTCTCCCACCTTTTCCGTTTAGTTTCCCGTTCCCGTTACCAGGTTGTTGTGCAGCAGGCTTAAAGCCCGTCCTACAATAGCCCGGTAACGGCAACGGGAATCTGAACAGTAAAGGTGGGAGGGACTAAGAAACCACTGTTGATAGATAGTGTTTGCTGAGTCTCTCCCACCTTTACAGTTTAGGTTCCCGTTCCCGTTCTCGTTACCGGGCTGTTGTGCAGCGGGCTTAACACCCATATTCATTACGCTACGTTCGACTGCAATCCGCTACATTAAAAAGCATCCCTTAACAAATCAAAGGCATGCATTTATACCGTCAATACTGGATTTACTATGCAAGTGAAATGAAGTGCTTAAAAAAATGCAACCAAATGAAACGATGCATAAAAAGAAAAGCGACGAGACGAAGCCACCAGACGGCGACAGAGGAACAAAAAAATGTCTGCGGCCTTAGTTTTTGGAGTAAATCCAGAATCAATAGGCTTAGTAAATACCTAGGGTAGGGTAGGTACCCAGATAACAACCGTGAGAGGCATCAAAACTCACATCGCCTTCACGTCGTGCGGAATCATGCGTGACGGTAAAAAGGCTGCGATATGATATTCATTTTATGATTAATGGGAATACACGTACGTGATTGGTATATGAGGGCACGAAATGATTGCAAACTTTTCACTTTTGCTGAATAGTTATCGCAAAATTGTAGATTTAATACTAGATCTACACTACATCTCGATAAAATTGTTGATTTTTACATATTATAACCAAAACTTTCAAAAAATTGACTTACACCATATAGTTAATTTGTGAAAATACTGGATTCGTAAAGACTAAATTTTTAGACTTCATTTGTATAAAAAAATATACATAATTTTATTTAGAATTCCAAATTGGAATTGATCTTAAGATCAACGAGTTAACACGTTGATCTTAAGATCACGTTTATAAATTAACTTACCATTAATTTATTTATGAATTTGTAAAAAGATACCTAATTTTAATTAAAATAAGATATCTTTCTATAAATGTAGACAATTGACACAAAAACTAAAATAAATGACTTAAAGAAAAAGATCTTTTGTATTATTACTTATTGACCAAAATTTCGCAATAAATCAATTTTATGAATAATTAACAGCTGAGTTTTGGACTTACCTTGTCTTAATTTGATTGTGTTCCTTACAATAATTGTAATCCGCACGTATGCACGCATATATGCATCATTTGCGTCATCAATTGAGGTTCATATTGCCAGCACATGTGATGGTTGGAGAAACATTGCGTGATTCTTAATCCTCACGTATGTCACATATATGCATCATTTGCGTCTTCAATTGAGGTTTATATAGCCAGCGCATGTGATGGTTGAAGAAATTTTTCTGGGCATGATTAACAGGTGAATTTTGGACTTGCATTGCCTTAATTTGATTGTTTTTCTTACGTTTCGATTTGTAATTATCTTTAATTGTCTTCAGTTATTACCTAAGGACAATTAGAGATAATTACTAATAGAATTATTCTATTAGTAATTATCTCTAATTGTCCTTAGGTAATAACTGAAGACAATTAAAGATAATTACAAATCGAAACGTAAGAAAAACAATCAAATTAAGGCAATGCAAGTCCAAAATTCACCTGTTAATCATGCCCAGAAAAATTTCTTCAACCATCACATGCGCTGGCTATATAAACCTCAATTGAAGACGCAAATGATGCATATATGTGACATACGTGAGGATTAAGAATCACGCAATGTTTCTCCAACCATCACATGTGCTGGCAATATGAACCTCAATTGATGACGCAAATGATGCATATATGCGTGCATACGTGCGGATTACAATCACTTTGTGACTGCAATATGCGTCAATTATGAACCTGAAAATTGATATCTGGGTACCTACTTACTTAAGCTAAGTAGATAAATACAAATTTATATTTTGAGTCAACCATTCAGCGTCGACTGTGCTTAAATTAAAGCCAAATAGATTTGCTACAACTTTTTTCTCAACAATTATTGACCTTAAATGATTAATTGTACTTAACATTTGGCTCCAAAATTGACCAAAAGCTCATAATTTTAATTTTTGGAAAGAATTACCAATTTTTAAAATTTTGTAATTTTTGAAAACTATACAGAGCTCAAATTATGTTTACTTTAAAAAAGGAAGGAAAGATGTTTTCGTTACCACGCATACTTATAAAAGTTATAAAAAGAAAACTTAACAATTTTTTTTTTAATTTAAATGAATTGTCTTTTTCTCAAAAGGTTGAGTCAATTCGTCCAATCTGGTACTATTTTTGTATTCAGTTCATCAATATTACCCAAGATCGACTCCAAAATCACATTCCGCAAAATCATTGTTCCCCTGTTAAAATTGATACGTTTAATTTACCTAAAATCATAAATAGAACCATACACTTTTCTCATACATCGTAGAAATCTAACAAGATTATCTTTCCGACAAATAATAGATCCTTTTGGAATGTGGTTAATGAACTAAGAACATATCAATAGGTTATGTAATTAATTTAATTTTTTTAATATTACCTGCCAAGCGTAAAGATTCTTATGGTGGCTTACTGAAAATCCTGAAGTTCTCCACCACAAATTCCAATTGTCGCAAACTTCCGGGTTATATTCCTTCCAACCTCTTTCCAGGCATACCTAAAATATGCGTGTTTAATTTTTTTAATATTTAATAACTGCTGTGAGGTATAATTTTAATTTAATACATAATATTAAATTATTAGAATATACCTATTTAATTAAATTTTGTTCGCAGGCTAAGAATTTTGTATTTAAAATTGTTAACCAGCTATAAATTGCGCTCTTCTTAAAGCACTTTTATAATCTTAACTATAATAAATATCCCAGGTAGCACAACGTGACGAAACCGTGACGATTTGTCCAATTGGACACAAATCGTCACGGTTATATACAGGGTGTCCGGAAAAAGGAGGTCAATCCGTTAACCATGTATTCCTTGAGTTAAAACAATAAGACTTTTATAATACCATTTTACAATTTAGATCTTCATGTTCAATATACAGGGCGACAATGTTTGAAATTTAAAACTATTTTTTTTTAATAATTCGAGTAATTGATAAGATATTAAGTTCAAATTCGGTACACTTCTTTAACATAAATAGTTACATCTTTTGAGATTAACAAAACAAAAAACAATTGTCAAATAATCAAAATAGGGGGGTCCAGTACTCACTGACTCCCCCTATTTTTTAGTACGTGCGCCAATGACTTCCAAACTTTATTTTTTCTAGTAATCATTTATTGGTGATTATTTTTTGTCTCTTATAAAATTTTGATAAAATGATTTGTTTTAGAGATAATTTGTAAAGTATTGGTCCTTGATTGATGCCTACGCGGCTTAAGGCAATCTCATAATTTTCAAATACTCTAAATCAAGTGAGCCGCTGTGGCATTACCATTGATACAATTAAGTAAAATTTTGCAATAGGTAATAATACCAAAAACTAGACAAAAATAACCCAATCTCAGTGACGCACAGATAAAATTAATACTAAACCAGAAAAATGAAATTAATTTTATTGCCCTAGGAAGAACTTTTTAAATAAATTTGAAGCATTATAACAAGCGCGCGTCCGAACGTGCTTGTCCAGCGCTAGAGGTCGGAGCGCGGTCACAAAAACATTTATAACTTTTGACCTTTTAAAAAATAATAACTTTTTTTACAAACATTTTTGTAAAATAAGATAAAATGTGAAAAAATTAAAATCCTAGCAGGCGGAGAAGTTTTATTAATTTTCAATTGTTTAATAAAAATAGCTTCATTTTTTTTAAAAGGTTTGCCCCTAACAACAAATTTTGTATCGTAAAGTATATTTTTCAACAAAAATTTTGATACAAAAAATGTTAAGTTTTGATGAACCGTTCAGGAGTTATCAATTTTTGAAAAAAACATCCACAAAAAGTATTGTAAAAATCGATTTTTTGCAAACCTATTTTAGGAAAGTTGTTTTTACCCCTAAACCGATTGAGACCATCAATTTTTAAGTGGCACACAATTTTGAGCCAGTAGAGACGCATCAACAATTAAATTTTAAAGTCAATGTGTGGGCAGGTGTCGTTCTTTTACGTCCTGTAATTTTACTAGGAAATTTGACTGGTCATTCATTTTTGATATTTCTTCAAAATACACAGCCCGATTTAGTCTAAGATCCCAAGTAAGGTCGACCTTCACCCATCTGCTTACAAGATGAAAATTATATTTTATCAAATAAAATATGTTTCTGAACATAAACCAATAAGGTTGCCATAAAAAATATGATCAAGGCTAGCTATAATAAATAAAAAATTAAAAAAAAATAATTAATTTTTTAAATTTCACCGACTTGCTTGCCAAATGAACGAAATTCCAATGGAAAGCATACAACATACAGAATATGTAACAGCTAGGTTGCCTACCTTTTTCTGGTCCCTATTACCTGGTTGCTTTGTACAGGGTGATCCCCTATAATGTCGCCCCCCTTTAACTTTTTTATTTTAAGTGTCCCAAAAAATTTAAAAGTGTGGTTATGTAGGAACTAAAAAATACTTTTTTTCTACGTATAAAGAAAATTGGAAAATTGATAAGTATACAGGGAAAACAAAAAGTTTATTTTTTTCAATGGATCACCCTATATATGAATTTATTTTTCGATTCCTTGTAAAATTCTAAGCATATTTCATATATCATACCATATACCTAAATTCAACCGTTTCTGAAATATTTAAATTATTTTTAAGATAATAAGTTGAAATAGTTTGTTTTTCTCTGTCTGAGTACACCATTTTTACTTATTTAACAACACTTATTGACATAATGTCACTATAGTAATTTATTTTCAATAAAAATTTTGGTATACTGAGGCTTCTTGATTTCTAAAAAAACATTTAATGATGACATTTCGAATGCGAATATTTCAGAAACGGTTGAATTTAGGTATATGGTTTGTTATATAAATTATGCTCAGAATTTTACAAGGAATCGAAAAATAAATTCATATATACGGTGATCCATTGAAAAAAAATAAACTTTTTGTTTTTCCCTGTATACTGATCAATTTTCCAATTTTCTTCTATACGTAGAAAAAAAGTATTTTTTAGTACCTACATAACCAAACTTTTAAATTTTTTGGGACACTTAAAATAAAAAAGTTAAAGGGGGGCGACATTATAGGGGATCACCCTGTACAAAGCAACCAGGTAATAGGGACCAGAAAAAGGTAGGCAACCTAGCTGTTACATATTCTGTATGTTGTATGCTTTCCATTGGAATTTCGTTCATTTGGCAAGCAAGTCGGTGAAATTTAAAAAATTAATTTTTTTTTTTAATTTTTTATTTATTATAGCTAGCCTTGATCATATTTTTTATGGCAACCCTATTGGTTTATGTTCAGAAACATATTTTATTTGATAAAATATAATTTTCATCTGGTAAGCAGATGGGTGAAGGTCGACCTTACTTGGGATCCTCTACTAATTTACTTGATGATTTGCCTCTACTGGTAAGACAAAATATTTGGTTTCAACTAGACGGTGCTCCTCCGCATTTTGCTAGAAATGTTAGAAACTATTTACATCAAATCTTTCCTAATCAATGGATTGGTCGGGGTAAATATGCTCCTGTTAAATTTCCACCCTGTTCCCCAGACCTTACCCCCTTGGACTATTCGGTATGGAGATGTATGATAGATTTTGTGTATATGGTTCCGATTTTGAGCAAAAATCATTTAAGAGAAAGAATCCTTCAAGTAGGAGAGGAGTTCAGGTTGAAGCCAAATATTTTTCGTAGGCCAAGATTTTCTTTAATAAAGAGGGCTGTGTATTAAAAAAAAATATATTATGTTTTGGTTACTAGAGTTACCAAAGTTATAACTTGTTACATATTTTAAGGAAATAATATGTTTTAAATACCTAGTTGTTATCTTGTTATAATGCTTCAAAAGTGATAGTAAATTATTGACTTATGAACTAGCGATATTAGTGTCATTTTACTGTTATGTAAAGAAAATTAGTAATTATTGTAAGTTCTTCCTAGGGCAATAAAATTAATTTCATTTTTCTTGTTTAGTATTATTTTTATCTGTGCGTCACTAAAATTGGGTTATTTTTGGTTAGTTTTTGGTATTGTTACCTATTGCAAAATTTTACTTAATTGTATCAATGATAATGCCACAGCGGCTCACTTGATTTAGAGTATTTAAAAATTATGAGATTGCCTTAAGCCGCGTAGGCATCAATCAAGGACCAATACTTTACAAATTATCTCCAAATCGAATCATTTTATCAAAATTTTATAAGAGACAAAAAATAATCACCAATAAATGATTACTTAAAAAAATAAAGTCATTGGCGCACGTACTAAAAAATAGGGGAAGTCAGTGAGTACTGGACCCCCCCTATTTTGTTTATTTGACAATTGTTTTTTGCTTTGTTGTTCTCAAAAGATGTAACTATTTATGTTTAAGAAGTGTACCGAATTTGAACTTAATATCTAATCAATTACTCGAATTATTAAAAAAAATCAGTTTTAAATTTCAAACTTTGTCGCCCTGTATATCGAACATGAAGCTCTAAATTAAAAAATGGTATTATAAAAGTCTTATTGTTTTAACTCAAGGAATATATGGTTAACGGATTGACCTCCTTTTTGAGGACACCCTGTATGTATACTACTCAGATCCGCCGGACCGACCACTTTTTTTGTGTGTGCCTGTGTTATTATTCTCCTGTTTTTGAACCTTTGGGATTAGATATAGTAACAAGCCATCTCGTCATCATATTAATTTGCATAAAATTTAAAAGGAACAATGCCCAATCGTGTATTCCTTTGCTACTTCATAGCCAAACAGGGTTTTATCTTTAAGCCCTTTTACCCTGGTCGTATTCTACTAAAAGCCACCAGTTGCTTGTTATAAAAAGTTTTTAAAGTAAAGTAAAGTAAAATCAAATTGGTGTAAACTGAACACTGTATTTTATTACGAGCTGAAGTTACAAAATATTATTATATATTCCCTGCTGAAAAAGGCGGGTAGGTAATATCGGATGATTGCGGATAAAAATCCAACCTAGTTTTATGTCCATTAATATCTGTTTTCATCCGACATTTCTATTTTACCCGGCATGTCGGTGTTTATCTGCAATTGCGTGTATAAATATTATCTGCAAACGTCGGGTTTTTTCTATTTAGTTCTATATCTGCATGCTTTCGTCTGATTTCATCTGAAAATACCTGTATTTGGGTTTATTTCTGCATTCACCCGGTTTTATCTGCAAATACCTGCTTTCGTCTGATTTTGCCCGGTTTTATCTGCGTTTGCCTTCATTTACTTCTTTGCCTGCATTCATCCAAATTTACCTGCTTTCATCCGCAAACATTTGTTTTAATCTGCAAACATCTGCCTTTTGTTTTCATCCACAAACGTCTGATTTTATCCGGTTTTACCCGCAAACACCTGCTTTTATCCGCAAACATCTGCTTTCGTCCGGTTTCACTTGCAAACATCCGCTTTTATCCGTGAAGATCTGCTTTCATCTGTGAACGTCTGCTTTTATCCGCGAACATCTGCTTTAAACCGCAAACATCTGCTTTTATCCGCTAACATCCGATTTCACCTGCAAACATCTGCTTTTAATTGCAATCC